TGGTTGGCCCAGCCTAGCCCATAAAAGCATCTTCCACCTGAAAGGACCTGGAAGTACTTCAGTTCCTCACCCTAATCAGGCTTTCTAGACCCATAGGCCCAGCAGCTGGCAGTGCCACCTCCATACGTGATGGTCCTTCTCCAGCTGCCAATTTGGGCAGCCTGGCCCCCAATCCTTAGTCCAGGACTTAATACTCTACTCTGTTCCCTTACCTGCCACACAGATTCCCAGCCCCTGCCACCTCCCCACCCCCAGCCTCACCTGCCATTCACTCCCTACTTCCCAGTCACTAGTCAGTTTTTCCACGTCAACTGTTGACTTTTGGAGACTTAAACAGGCAGGAGGCAGCCTTGGCCTAGGCATCAAGCCTAACTCCACTGGTCTTAGCGGAGGCAAGAGCAATAAAAGAAAGCCGTGGGGTGCCTGGGTGGCTCAGTCAGTTAGGCGGCTGCCTTCCGCTCAGGTCATGATCCCAGGGCCCTGGGATCGAGCCCCGCATCGGGCGCCCTGCTCGGCAGGAAGCCTGCTTCTCCCTCTCCCTCTGCTGCTCCCCCTGCTTGTGCACATGCACGCTCTCTCATCAAATAGGTAAATAAAATCTTTTTTAAAATAAATAGGGGCGCCTGGGTGGCTCAGTCGGTTAAGCGGCTGCCTTCAGCTCAGGTCATGATCCCAAGGTCCTGGGATCGAGCCCCGCATCGGCCTCCCTGCTCGGCAGGGAGCCTGCTGCTCCCCCTGCTTGTGCTCTCTCTCTCTGTCAAATAAACAAATAAAATCTTTTAAAAAAATAAATAAAATAAAATAAAATAAATAAATAAAAATAAAAGAAAGCCGTGATCTATGAAGCCAGACAGACTCCTTCTCGCCTCCCCTTAGTGAGGAGTCTATGGTCTATTCAACCTGGTAAGTAAGAGCCAGGAACCTTTATCATTATTTGAGTCTTTCTGAGTCTTCTCCAGCTGCACTCCTTTATATCCTAATTACACTGCCTCTCCTGCTTCAGATAATTAAGAAGTAAGACTTCCATACTCATAGCCCTTCTGGAATCCTGTCCGCCTTCCCTTTTCCACCCCCACTCCCAAACACACGCACCCTGGGCTCTTGCCTCCCCCTGCACTACTTTACAACCTGCAGGTGTTTGGTGGAAGATAAAAGTGGTTCCTGGGGTGAGATTTTACCTCCTAGAATTATGAAAGTAAAGGTTTCCCTTGATGTGCTCACCGTGGGTGGCAGTAATTATAAAGAATGATTTGAAATACTGGTTTCCACGCTGCTTCAAAAATCCCAAGTCTCTAAAGTTCATTGGTGTAATCTTGCCTGAATCTTAGTGCTGTTCTCATTGAACTTGTGAGAGACTGGACGAGCATTCCTCGATCTCCACCTCCACCAGCCTTCTTGGGAGCTCTCGAGCTCCACATTCCTACCACTGGTGGGGACAAGGTTCCTGAACACTTGTGCTCATCAGACAGGAGCCGAAATGGCCCAGCAGAAGTGGTTCAAAGAGAGAGAAATGCGGGGGAGGGGAGCGGGAGTAAAGAGCTGCGCAGTGCCCCGGGGGGGGGGGGGGGGTCCCCTTTGGAAATGAAATGAAATCTGTGGAGCCCAGATGACACCGGCTGGAAGGAGACCTGCCCTCTAGAATGTTGCTTGGCTTTGGCCCAGTCACCGCCTCTCCTCTGTCCCTGTGTTTCCACATCTGCAAAATGGGAAAGTTGCACTGGCCAACTTCTAAAGGCTCTTCTATTCTCAAATTCTGTCCCCTCTCTCAGAGCTTTCTGACCCTTGGGATCCGGGTGGCCCAAGAGGCCAGAAGGCTGCTCCTTGTCAACAGAAAGGGGATGGAGCTGAATAGGTTTGGAAAGAGGTAGGTGGGGGACAAGAAGGGATTGATTAAACTGTCCCAGAGCCTTCCCATACCCCTTCCTGATCTTCCCCACAGAGCCCTTGTGGAATCCCTGACTGTAAGGTAGAGGAAAGACCTCTCCTCTAACTTCCCTTGCACAAGCCCATGAGCAGCCCTGCTCCAAGAAAAGGAGGGAGCTGGAGAAAACAGGACAACAAGGTAAGGGTTTCCCCGGGGAAGGCCTCGCTTGAGTTTAAGTCCCAGCCGGGAACAACCCCAGCCCAGGACACTGCTGCTATTTTCTCCAACAACACCGGGATTGACTGGGTGCCCGAGATGCTTTCATTTCTCTTCTCTTTGTTCTATTTGTTTGCCATAAGGCAGGGACCATTTTTGTTTCCTTTTGGCAGCAGCTACAGAGAGTTTGAATATATCTAAAAGATGGTGAGCAACTGAATTTCCACTGGCCAGCCACCTCTCCACGGGGTCGAAGCCAGAAGAGCCAGGCAGGTGAAGGGGTCGCCTGCCCCGCCTCTCCCAGGGATGCTCCGTGAGGGAAGTGGAGGAGAGAAGGAAGGGGGCTTTCAGTACCAATCAGGGAGGACTCTGGGGAGGTGTTGGGCAACAACACCTGGAGTTCTGGAAGCTCGCCAGGTCAGACAAAATTTGATATCTACTACTCCAGGAACCCCTCCCCCGGTAACACCTCACCCTCACCTGCTGGCAACAGCTCCTGAGCCAGGAAGGGGACTGACTGCCAAGACTGCCCTCCAAGCTTTTTCCCAAGGCTGGAGGCTGAACTTCTTCCCAGTCCGTCACCACATTACTCTTCCTATCCTGCTCCCATCCATGGAGGTGGCGGGGAGGGGGTTCGTGGGGAATTGTCTTTAGCTGGAGCCCCAAGAGCAATCTAGGGGCCTGCACAGCCTAGTTTATAAGCTGTTTCTATTTCCAGAGAACCACAGAAAGCACACTTTCTTTATCCACAGCCCTCCCTACCCCTAAGGAGGTACATAAGCCAGGCCTTTGTATGCTGTTTTCTAAATAGTTAAATGTGTCTGAGGAAGATGGAGTGGGTGTGGGAAGGACCACCCAGACACAAGGTCTAGAAAACTTAGCTGTGATGGAGCTCACAGGGAAGGAAAGAGGCTGGGCAGGAGAACACATTCTACTTGAAGGATGACTTGTCCTCGACCTGAGCCATCTGCCGCCACCCAGAAGGACTGCGTCAGGGGCTTTTCTGCTATAGATAAATGGGGGAGATTCTGCTTTGATTCTCAGCCTCTCTTCTTACTCCACCTTCAAGGTAAAAGGCCATTTTCTGATCTCTGGTTGCAGCCTCTGACACTAGAGACTTGACAGGTGCTGTTGGCCTAAAGCTGCCTACAGGGAAGGGGGTGTATAGTCCCAGGCTTGGCCGTTAAACATAACGGATGGCGGGGGGAGGGGGAGGTGGTGGTGCAGGGCTCCTTGCTTCCCTCTTCCACATCTCAGGGTTACTGACTCCGCCGGGCCCACATAACAGAAGCCGGCCCAAAGCATGAGTGAGAAGCCTGGGGGAATGCCAAGGAAAGAAGGCCTGCCCTAGTTCCTCCCACATGGACCCTACCCTGAAGCCAGGCTGGTCACTTTCCAACACTGTGTATGTGTGTGTGTGTGTTTTACCTCACTTTTCCTGGCACTGTTCCTCAGCCACATATATCATCTCATTTAATCCTTATGTCAGGGGCGCCTGGGTGGCTCAGTCATTAAGCGTCTGCCTTCGGCTCAGGTCATGATCCCGGGGTCCTGGGATCAAGCCCCGCATCGGGCTCCCTGCTCCACGGGAAGCCTGCTTCTCCCTCCCCCACTCCCCCTGCTTGTGTTCCCTCTCTGGCTTTCTCTCTTTCTGTCAAATAAATAAAATCTTAAAAAAAAAAAAAAAATCCTTATGTCAATGTCAGAGATCATATGACTTGCCCAAGCTCTCATAAGCAGACCTTGAACCAATGTCTTCTTTTCAATTTGGTAATCCTCCCACCTCTCCCATCCAATCCCTCTAACTTAAACCTCCCTGAGTGTTCCATCTCACAGTAGTTTCCCCTATGGTCTTTGTGCTCTCCCTTAGGCTATGAACTTCGAAAAAGCAGGTACCCTGCAAATCCAGAGCTTAGCAAAGGGGTGGACACATAACAGACCTTAAGGGATATTTGTCTCAATCAGTAATTAGATTTACTCCTTGGTGATAGTGAATTAATTAGATTGCTTTTCTTTTTTGTTATTCTTTGGAGAACTTCTCTGGTTTGAGCCCAAAACACATTCCCAGATCCAGTGGAAGTGACACTGGACCAGGCTGTTCCACAGTGAAGCAGTCCACGTATAGAGAGAGAAGAGGAGCTTCTGCCTCCCTTCCTGTTCCCCGGGGTCTGTGCCTTTAGCTTGCCCTGGCTGAGCTCAGCTGCACTCAGAAATCACTTTGTTGGGGAAAAGAAAGGTCATCTTGGAGCTTGGAGCAGCCAGAGGGCACTAGGCCCTGGGTTGGAATGGTTAGAACTACAGACCAGTTTCTCCCACACTGGGTCTTTGGACTTTGGCAAGAAGTTTTCCCAGCAGGCAATCCCTACCCTGGAAGCATCCACAGAAATGCTGGGCTTCACCACAGTTGTTAGCAATGGTGGGCCTGTGGTAGAAGCAGAGTCCCAAGTCCCAGGATTACAAATCTTTCTCCATGGACTTGGTCTTGCAGAGTCCGGTTAGAGGGAAGGAGGTCTCAAGAGCTACTTACAGCAAAGTCTGTCTGCTTGGGTATCCAGCCATACTCAGCTGTAGCCCCAAGATCAATCCAGGGGCCCACACAGCTAGTTTAGAGGTTATTTCTATACCCAGAGAATTGCTGAGGGTACACTTCCTTTTTTTTTTTTTTCCAGCAAGATTTTATTTATTTATTTGACAGAGAGCAGGAGAGACAGCAAGAGAGAGCACAAGCAGGGGGAGGAACAGAGGGACAGGGAGAAGCAGGCTCCCTGCTGAGCAGGGAGCCCGATGCAGGGCTCGATGCGGGGCTCAATCCTGGGACCCCGGGATCATAGCCTGAGCAGAAGGCAGCCGCCTAACTGATTGAGCCACCCAGGCGCCCCTGAGGGTACACTTCCTTGGATCCTCCTCTTCCAGCATCTTCCCCAGATGCCGAGGATACACTTTCTTTATCCACAACAGGATAACAGGGAAGAAGAAAGTGCTAAGCACATATGCTGCTTTTAATGTGTAGTTACTACTTGGCCAAAAGCATCCTGCATGTATTACTTCCTCCATAGGCATTTTGCTGGATGAATGGACCAAGAGATGTGGCAAACCTTTTGGGTGATGTTCATCCCCTCAGCCTAAAATTTCCTTTCCACAGGACGGAGGCTCTGGAAATAATGTTAACTGACACGTTTTCAAAAAGCAATTTGGCAATGTGTAGCAAGAGCCATAAAAATGTTCATACTTTTTGACCCAACACCCTCACTTCTGGGAATCTGTCCTAAGGACATTCTCCAAATGATTGATACAAACACTATGTAGTAACATGAAATGTTAATGATGTAATGATAAACAAGTCTGGAGGAACTGACCAAGAAACTGGCCAGAGATAGTAGTAGTTGTGTTAGAGTAATGAGTTTATTGGAGATTCTGTTTCTCTTTCCCAAACCTTGCATGTTAGAATATTGATTTTACCCTCCCCTGACACTCAGGGTTAATCATTCAGAAACCTGGAAGAAACAGGACTCAGGACAGTTGATGAAATTTTTTTCTTTTTTTAAAGACTTTATTTAGTTATTTGACAGAGAGAGACACAGCGAGAGCTGGAACACAAGCAGGGGGAGTGGGAGAGGGAGAAGCAGGCTTCCCGCTGAGCAGGGAGCCTGATGCGGGGCTCGATTCCAGGACCCTGGGACCATGACCTGAGCAGAAGGCAGACGCTTAACAACTGAGCCACCCAGGCGCCCCAGTTGATGAAAATTTAATAAAGGAACTAGTCTCTGTTTCCAGTCCTTTCCACCCTGGTTTCTGCAACTCTCAGTGACTCACTCAACCATTACTGAGCACCTACTTAATTGTCTAGTGAGGGAGGCAGAGTCTCAAGTACATAAGTTGCCATAAATGCAATAATAAATAGTGTGTCACAAGGAGCACAATGAAAGAAGCAACTGTCAGGAGGGAGGTGTGAATCAAGGAAGGCTTCAAAGAGGGGTGATTGGCCCATGTTCCGTTTTGAAGGTTGTCTTCCAAGACAACAGGGCTACAACACGTACTAAGGCAGAAACGCCTGGAATGCCATGGTGCCTTTAGGAACTTAAGTCTAACTCTGCAGGGCTGGAAGGAACATTGAGTGGCTGTGAAGGAATTATGGGAGAGAAGGCTTTAGTTAGATCACGCAGGGCTCCGTGCTCCAAATGGGCTTTGTGTTTTGGAGCTATCATCAGATTTGCATTTTAGAGCGATGACTCTGGCCTCGGTGGAGAGCGGACTGAAAGGGACGAGAATGGAGGCAGAAAAGAGTGAAGTCATTGGCGTCTCCTGGCTTATGCTTGGCCAGCGCCGTGCCTCCCCGGGATCGCCCTCCCTGCTCCTCCCCGAGGGCCCCGCGGGCGGCCGGGGAAGCGAGGCGTGGGGTGGCCCTGCCTGGGTGGTCTCCTGCCCCGCCCCCACCCGCGGCGCCGTCGCCTAGCAGCGGATCCGGCCGCGCGGCTCCGGGTAATTTGCGGACCCCTCAGCCAATGGGAGGGCGCCGTCCCGGCCCGCTCCCTTTTTCTGGAGCTAAGGACGCCTCCTCCTCACTGCGTTCTCCACCTCCAGCCGCGCGGGGCGTCGCGGGCCGGTAGCTCTGCCTGCACGCGGGGCCGACTGCGGCACCCCAACGCAGCCGCCGCGGCACGCCGGCACCCCACCCTCACCCACGCCGCGCCTAAGCGGCCCCGCGGAGTCCCGACGCGGGGCTCCGCGGTACCCGGGTACCAGGCCAGCTTATGGGGAATCCCAGATAACGCGGGTTGGGGGCGCGCACGCCCCCCATCCCCGCCGGCATGGCTCGGCCGCCGCCGCTCCGGGAGCTGCCCCCTGGCTATACACCCCCAGCTCGAGCCGCATCACCCCAGGTGAGTGGACGGGAAACCTGAGGGAGAAAGACCGGGACCAGGTCTTGAGACCCCCAGGTCTGTCACTCTGCGAGGTGTGATGTCTCTAAAGTGCAGGGTTATAGCCCACCCCTTAAGGGTGTGTGTGCGTCTTCTGTGTCTTCTGGGCATCTGGCCGGTGAGACTGTGTCTGGGTTTCACCTCTGTCCACCTGAGAACAGATGTGTGCATATGTATCTTATTCTCAGAAAAGTATCCGTGCCTTCCTCCGGTATGTATGGGGGGCGGGCGGGAGAGACCAGGAATAGAGTTAAATATTTTCCATCTTTGGGACTCTGTGTAGGTCCTACCTGTCCTGCATCCAGAAACCAAGAAGCTGGGGCTTGGCAGAGGGTGCACATAAGGAGAAAAGGGGAGGATTTCATGCATTGTTACAGTAATGCCTGGCTGACACTTCTCTTTCCATCCCAGATCCTAGCTGGGAGCCTGAAGGCTCCACTCTGGCTTCGTGCTTACTTCCAGGGGCTGCTCTTCTCTCTGGGCTGTGGGATCCAGAGACACTGTGGCAAAGTGCTCTTCCTGGGCCTGTTGGCCTTTGGAGCCCTGGCACTGGGTCTCCGCGTGGCCATCATTGAGACAGACCTAGAACAGCTCTGGGTGGAAGGTGAGTTGTGGACACTAGTCATAGCTGCTTGGGTATGGTGAGCCCAAGACAAGAACAGGGTGAGGAGCTGGCTACTGAGTTCTAGGGGCTCCGGCCCTGGGTCTGGAGAGGGTACATGCCTGCCAGAGCCTGGGCATCTGGGAGCAGGACTCCCTCCCACACTTGTAAATGGACATGTGCAGATGATGGAGTCCTGTGAATAGGTCTATAGAATAGTTACCTGTGAGCTTGTGTGTCTGTGTGTTTAGCAATTATTACCAACTTTTTTTTTTTTAAAGATTTTATTTATTTATTTGATAGAGAGAGACACAGTGAGAAAGGGAACACAAGCAGGGGGAGTGGGAGAGGGAGAAGCAGGCTCCCCGCAGAGCAGGGAGCCCGATGCGGGACTCGATCCCAGGACTCCAGGATCATGACCTGAGCCGAAGGCAATCGCTCAACCGACTGAGCCACCCAGGCGCCCTATTACCAACTTTTTATGTGTGTTTTTTTTTACTGCATGGCAGTGTTTGCAAAGGCAACCAAAATCTTTCAGTAGCAAGGAGAGTAAAATATGTGCTGCAATATAACATACAGTAGAATATAGAGCAGAGTATGATTACTTGAGTAAGATAAGGCAGGGAAAGATCACAGCTGATTAGGAGAGTCAAGAAAATTACAACTGGGCTGGGGAAACTGAGTAAATCATCTGGCAGGCCTCCATGGAGAGGTCCCATGCACCTAGAGTCCCGTGCACCGAGGCCCCCTGCAACCATTTAGTAGAAAAAAAGTGGCGCAGGGTCTACACTTTGAGGCAACAGCAAGGTCAGATGCAACCAAATCCTCACTTCCTAATGGAAGCATTAGGTAAAAATGATTTCTTATTAATAATTTTGGCATAACCCTCCTTTCCTGGGGGCTGGTTTCATATGCTAGCCCTTCAATAGAGTCAAACTCGGGCGCCTGGGTGGCTCAGTTGGTTAAGCGACTGCCTTCGGCTCAGGTCATGATCCTGGAGTCCCGGGATCGAGTCCCGCATCGGGCTCCCTGCTCAGCGGGGAGTCTGCTTCTCCCTCTGACCCTCCTCCCTCTCATGCTCTCTGTCTCTCATTCTCTCTCTCGCAAATAAATAAAATCTTTAAAAAAAAAAAAAAAAATAGAGTCAAACTCTCCTCTGTTCTTTCCTGGGAAATTTGCATTGGTGGGTCCCCCCAAACCTCCCCCAGACCTGGCCCACACCCAAAGGCAGGGCCAGGTTAGAATCTCACACCCTTGAGTTATTTCAAATGCTGGCAAGCCCTAGGATGCAGAGCAGATGTTTCTTGGAGCCTGCCTGCCTGCCTGTTGGGCTCCCACACCCCATCCCCACCCTACCCCAGCCCTCTGCAGGCTCACACATCCATACGCACTCTAGGCCAGCCCTGGGGTCCAGAGCAGATGTTTCTCGGTGCCTGCCTGCCTGCCTGCCCCCAGCCCCAGGACACACATGTGCATACATGCACACACACATACCCCCACCCACACCGCAGCTGCCTGGGTGGTCCCAGATGACTGTTGGATTTCCTGCCACAATAGAAGCTGTCTCCCCCCTCTTCCTCCTTCTTCATTTCCCAGATCTTTCCCATCTAAACATGGCTTGAACCTCCATGTTCCTCATCCTCTCTCCTGCTCTCCAGCACAGGACAGGCTAGATCCCACTGGATCTTTGCTGCTGTTTGTGGATGGGTGATGTAAAAGGGTGGTAGCCTATTCCGAGGCCTTTTTCCTTTCTTTCAGAATACTGCTGTGTCCCGTATCGGCTAGGGCTGGGGTGAGGTAAAAGCAGTGATCCTGACCTGATTTCTTCTCTGTACATCCGTAGTTGAGGCTTCTCCCAGCCATGCCCTAGGCAACGAGGAGCTGATCAAGGCGAGGACTAAAGAGTATTCTCTATTCCTTTCCTGTTTTGCTAATACGGAAAGCAAAGAAAGAAGCAGGACACTGGCAATCAGAGTTCAGGGTCCCCTCCAGCTTTGCCATGGTGAGAGACAGAATGTGACTCGTCCCTCCCGATCAATTGTAAAGCTAAAAGGCTCAGAGATAGATTGATCTCTAAAGTAATAAATAAATAAATAAATAAACAAACAAACAAACAAAAAAACCCCACAACATTATAGCCCAACTAGTACCTACAGGAACAATGATTGAGATGGCTTGAAATTGGAGCTGTCCCTGAAAACAAGGGACATGTATCTAGAAGGCAGGGTGAAACATCAATTGGTGGAACCACTATCCACTCAAAAACCCAAGGCTGAAACCTTGGGAGTCAGCCTCAGTTCTCCTTGCTTACCTAACTGGTTACTAAACCAGCAAATTCTTCTTTCTTAACTTCTCTCATAACAGACCCCTCCTTTTCACCCTGTGGCCATTGCTCTAGTTGAGGCCTTTCTCAGTCTCTGGTCGTACACTCCTGATTATATCATTTACTACGCTTTTCGCCACATGAAAGAGGAAAAAAGGAAGGGAGGGAGGGAGGGAGGAAGGAAGAACAGGAAATCTGGTAGTAGACAGAGCAGTTCCAGGATGGTTAATTCAGCAACCTAAGGACATCAGCAAGGACCCAGGTTCTTCCTTTCTCCTAAGCCTTCTTCAGCATGTGGGGCTTTTGTCCTCAGGCTTATCACCTCCTTGTCCCAAGTGGCTACTGCAATGGTCCCTTTTTGGAAGTGAGGGAAAATTTACCAGAAGCCCCCCAGCTGACTGCCCATTTGGTCACTTTGGCAAGAACTGTGGAGCTATGCCTAAACCATTCACTTGGCAAAAGCAGTGGAATTACTGTGATTGACTAATCAAATTTCAGCCCCTGAGGCTGGGGAGGGATCCAGCTTCTCTGAATCACTGGGCCTTTCAGAGGATGGCCAACAAAATCAAAGTCTGTTAGAGAAGTGACCAATCTTCTGCAGGACTCACCTTCTAATCTGCCTCCACACTGCCCTCCTGTGGTGTATCTAAATCTGGCCAAGTCGGTCCCCTGCTTAGAGCCCTTCCACCAGTTTCTACGAGGTTCTGGGCAGTCTCCAGAATCAAGTTCAAGCTCCTTAGCAAACATTCTAGGCCCTCCGCAACCTAACTCTTGATTTCTTCTCCAGCATTGTCTCTGCCTCACTCAGCAATGCTGAGCCTTTGACAGTTCCCTACACCTACTTGGTCCAGAATGCCTTTTCCAGACTTCTTCCCTTGGCCAATTCCTATTCATTCACAGCTCAGCTCCAGAATTTATTGTTAGGTGATGAAAAAGTCAGGTCATCTCACTTCTCTGCTCAAAACCTACCATGGCTCCCAATTCACTCAGAGAAGGACTGCATCACTACAATAGCTTACAGGCCCTTACATGTAAAATTTCTGGACCAAAGATTATGAACATTTCTCATTTCCAAATATCATACCAAATTACACTCTGGTGGTAGGTTAGAGTACACTCCTATAAGCCAGCAATGAGGGCCATCATTATTTTTATTTTGGCTAAATTGATAGATGGTAATTTATTGCTGTTTTAATTCATATTACCTATAATATAGGATTATATATATTACCATTGTAGGATTACCTATAACGTGGATTCATTTTCCATGCTGGCTAACAAGTTATAGTCTCCCTTTTGTAAAGGTATAAGTTTTTATTTATTTATTTATTTATTTATTTTTTAAAGATTTTATTTATTTATTTAACAGAGAGAGACACAGAGAGGGAACACAAGCAGGGGGAGTGGGAGAGGGAGAAGCAGGCTGCCTGCTCGGCTCGATCCCAGGACCCTGGGATCATGACCTGAGCCGAAGGCAGACACTTAACGACTGAGCCACCCAGGCACCCCCAAAAGTTTTTAAAAGATGTGTTGATTTTGATGTCTCCTTCCCCTGTTCTCCTCCTTCCTCCCCACTCAGTCTTTTTTACTCCAGTTCTTTCTCATTTTTCTGTCCCACAATCTCTTTCCCAGCAACCATTTAATAATAATTCCTTATCTGTTCCTACTTTGTGCTGGGCAGTTAAGTACTTTACCTGCATTGATTCTAATTCCACCAAGGTAGGCCCTATCCCCATTTGGCAGATGAGGAAGTTGAGGGCAGAGAGACTAAGTCATCTGCCCCAAGCACAGGCTAAATGTCAGAGCCCAAGCTCAAGGCCAGATGTGTCCAGGGCCTCTGGGTTCTCCCTTACACCTGCTGTCTCTCCTTGCCCTCACAGTACATCCCAGTTCATCTGTCCTCATGTCTGTCATCATCATTGTTGTCAGCTGAGGTTTACTTTTTCCTTTGCCTCATTTTTTTCTGAGGATTCTTTATTTTCTTTGATGTTGTATTTTACATTTCCAGTGTTTCTTTCTCTTGCTTTCTTTTTTTTTTTTTTAAAGATTTTATTTATTTATTTATTTGAGAGAGAGAGAATGAGAGAGAGCACATGAGAGTGGGGAGGGTCAGAGGGAGAAGCAGACTCCCTGCCGAGCAGGGAGCCCGATGCGGGACTCGATCCCGGGACTCCAGGATCATGACCCGAGCCAAAGGCAGTCGCTTAACCAACTGAGCCACCCAGGCGCCCCATCTCTTGCTTTCTTGATAGCTCTTTCTGGGTTCCTTCCTTCTCCTGTGCCTCCCTCCCCTCAGCAAACTCACTTACTATGAGGAGCTTATTTCTGTCCCCTCCTGTCCCTCCTTGTGGCAGCTCTGGCCTAAGCCTGGTGAAATAAACACTGCAGTGCAGGCCTGGGGAGGGGTGGGGAATCAGGGAAGGAAGAAAATGGTGGACGTGCGCAGCATGGATTAGTAAGACTGTATTTGTGAGGGAGGGCCAGGAATGTGATTTGAATGGGGAGGTGTGAGCATATGGGTAAATTTGTGTGTGGCGGGGGGTTTGCTAAGGGTGTGCAGCTCTCATGAGTGAGGAGACTATATGGGTTTGAAAAAGAGATTGGGGAGCACGACGATCACAGGTGGGGCTGGAGTCTCACAGAAGGTGTACGTGTGGGCCCCAGGGGTGGCAGGAACCCAACAGGAAGAGGCCCCAGATGTGTGGCAGCAGAACTGGGCCTAAGACCAGACCAAGTCCAGAAAGCCTCAGCGGTGGTTTGGCCCTTGCCCTTGCCCTCCTCCAAACCCCACTCAGGCCATGTCCCCTCACAGCACCCCTGCCCACCCACCCCCACAATGCAGGACTGGATGGGTGCCGAGATCAAGGAGCCTGAGGCAGGCCTGGCACTGGGCCTCCCTGTTGCCCGGACAGTGAGATCTGGGGTCTGGAACCCTTTCTTCCCCTTGGCCCACGTTGATGTCACCTCTGCCAGGTGATCCCAGGTACTTCTTACATGAGTAGAAGCAGCATGTTGACAGCATCCCACTGAAGTCTGTCTGATCCCCCCCCCCCGCCTGTGCCCCCACAGGGCCCATTATTACCAGACACTGCCATCCCTACCCTCTTGGCATAACAATTTGCAAAAAGATGTATGGCTAGAAAGCACCTGCCTGAGACAGCCTGACCCAGGAACCAGCCCTAGCACTAGACCTGCTCTGTGAGGAGACCCTCCCGTTGGCAGCCTCCCTATTGATCCCTTTTGTCCCTCCTTGTCTTCCTCACCAGAACACAGAGGGGCTGAGTGAGGGCTCCCTTACCGGGATACCTCCGTAACCCCAGCCCTGGCCCAACTCCTACTGACCTCTCATTTTGAAGTAATTTGCCCCACACCGAGCCAACCTGGTTCCTGTTTAAATCTTAGATGACACAAGAATTCCATCCAGCTGAGGTGTCTCTCACTTGCACGCAAAGCTCCAGATTCTAAGCGGAGTGCCAGGAGCTTGGGGAGTCAGCACGACCATCAAGGAAAAAGCAGGGGTTCCTCTCAGAGCACTTCTCCCACTCGTCGTGGGAGGCCTCAGCCGGCGAGGGTCCCACAGCCCCGGAGCTCGGACCCCAGCTTTCTCTCTCTGCTCTGGCAGTGGGCAGCCGGGTGAGCCAGGAGTTACATTACACCAAGGAGAAGCTGGGGGACGAGGCTGCATACACCTCCCAGATGTTGATACAGACCCCACTCCAGGAAGGGGAGAATGTCCTCACACCTGAGGCACTTGGCCTCCACCTCCAGGCAGCCCTCACCGCCAGTAAAGTGCAAGTATCACTCTATGGAAAGTGAGTCTGGCTGAGTCCCCGAGCAACTGGGAGTGAGGCGCGCTGTGGCAGGGCTGGCGTGGGAATCCGCCTCTTCTGCTGATCCCTTGCGCCCTGGCCATTTCAGGTCCTGGGATTTGAACAAAATCTGCTACAAGTCAGGAATTCCCCTAATTGAAAATGGAATGATTGAACGGGTGAGTGTCCTGAGCTGTTCTTTGAGACTGGGCCGAGGGAGAACTTTTTCTGCAAGTAGGGGAGGGCTCTGAGAGACGGGGAGGTTAAAAGTTGGGAGGTGGGGGGTTACCGAGGGCGTCCTACAGAGACTGTGGAGAAAGGAGCCCAGGGACAGGACTGATGTGGCCTGGGCTGTCCCTGGCAGATGATTGAGAAGCTGTTTCCGTGCGTGATCCTCACCCCCCTCGACTGCTTCTGGGAGGGAGCCAAACTCCAAGGGGGCTCCGCCTACTTGCCGTGAGTGCCCCACAGCCACTCCCGGGCCCTGCTTCAGCTAGGCCGGGACGCCCGCCCAGAAGAGAGGGTGGGCATAAAGAGGATGATCAAAACCTTACCAAGGGCCTAAGCCACCTGTTAGGCCGGGGCCAGAGCACAGGATGCCCCACAGCTCTCTCCACATCCCCCTTCTCCTGGCCTCTGAAGGAAAGGCAGACTTGTCTTATTTAGACAAAACAGAACAAAGAGAAAAAAAGATCCCCAGAAAGTGACTTTGCCCAAGAGAGTTAACTAGGTATGAGCTAAGCTGTTGCACAGGCCAGAAAGAAAAGCTGTTAGAGGCAGGTGTCCACGTGGTTATGTATTAGAACCAAAGGTGGATGGCTTGGGCAGGGACTGGGTGGGGCTCTTCTGGCCTTTTCCATGTATTAAGTACTGGTGTAGCCTGGGAGTTCTGGGAAGCTCAGCATTGCAGACCCTTCATACAGAGGGATGAATGAGCAGCTAGGAGGAGGGTGGGGTACAGCAGGGGTCCCCAGCAGCATTTTGGAGGGTGGGAATTGATCCTTTACCCTCACCAACCACGGGCTCTCCCCTCAGCGGCCGTCCTGACATCCAGTGGACCAACCTGGATCCAGAGCAGCTGCTGGAGGAACTGGGCCCCTTTGCCTCCCTCGAGGGCTTCCGGGAGCTGCTAGACAAGGCACAGGTGGGCCAGGCCTATGTGGGGCGGCCCTGTCTTCACCCTGACGATCTCCATTGCCCGCCTAGTGCCCCTAACCATCACGGCAAGCAGGTGGGTGCCAGCCAGGTTTGCTGGCCAGGTTTGCCAGGGAAAGGCTATTTTCCTTCTCTTTCCCCTCCTCATGTGTTCCTCTATTCTGGGAGAGAGCAAATTGTGCTCTGTGCTCTGCCTCCCATTTCCTGGACATTGTTACCCTGCCCCCATTCTGCTAGATGCCTAGACTCTTCCCTTCCCATTCAGTTTTCCTAAGGAACCCTCACGTGGTATATGAATCCCTTTGTACTTTTCTAAGCCCAGGAACGCTGGACTTCATCCAAGCAGACTTGTACAGAGAAACTGAGGACAAATGAGCTAAGCACAAGTATCATATCTAGTTTCCTGAGTGTCTCTGTGGCCCTGTGAAGTGAACCTTTTTCCAAAACCCACCAAAGTTACTCCAGCTCTTCCCAGAAGCCTATTTCCAGGCCTCTGCTTCCTCTTGTGGCCTCCTCTCTGCAGGACAAGAACTGTTCACTTTCAGAGTAGGCGAGAGGCTCAGGAGAATAGTTATGTCCACATCAGGCTACAGAGCCCCATGGCAGGCGTGACTCCTCCAGGGGCAGGAGGGGGCTCCTCCAGGGGCCCCCAGTTACCCACAGCCAGGGCCTCTCCTGTCCCCCTCCAGGCTCCCAATGTGGCTCAGGAGCTGAGTGGGGGCTGCCACGGCTTCTCCCACAAGTTTATGCACTGGCAGGAGGAATTGCTGCTGGGGGGCATCTCCAGAGACCCCCGAGGACAGCTGCTGAGGTAAGGCCTCCCTGGGGGCTGGCAAGGGGGCCCCAGGCATGGGAACCCGCACTCTGATTCCAGGCGGCTCCAGCAACCCCCCCCCCCGTTCAGCCCCCGTTGGGTGCTCCGGCCCGCTCTGACCCCCAGCTCTCCCCTACCCACCGCCAGGGCGGAGGCCCTGCAGAGCACCTTCCTGCTGATGAGTCCACGCCAGCTGTATGAGCACTTCCGAGGCGACTACCAGACGCATGACATCGGCTGGAGCGAGGAGCGGGCCGGCACAGTGCTGCAAGCCTGGCAGCGGCGCTTTGTGCAGGTCCGGGCGGAGCTGGGCAGGGGCGGTGCCCTGAGGCCGCCCCCTCCTGCCCCTCACATCCACCCCGTCTCTCCAGCTGGCTCAGGAGGCCCTGCCTCAGAATTCATCGCAGCAGATCCACGCCTTTTCCTCCACCACCCTGGATGACATCCTGCACGCCTTCTCTGAAGTCAGTGCTGCCCGCGTGGCGGGAGGCTATCTGCTCATGGTGGGTGCTGCTCCCGGCGCCCTGCCCGCCGCCGCCCGGTGCCCCCCGGGAACTGCCGTGCGAGCCTGTGCCCTCTCTCCCCACAGCTAGCCTATGCCTGTGTGACAATGCTGCGCTGGGACTGTGCCCAGTCCCAGGGTGCGGTGGGCCTTGCAGGGGTGCTGCTGGTAGCCCTGGCAGTGGCCTCGGGCCTTGGGCTCTGCGCCCTGCTTGGCATCGCCTTCAATGCTGCCACTACCCAGGTACACCAGGACTCCAGGGCAGACTCGGGGCCCACGGTCCAGGCGACTCGGTTCCTCCAGCTACCCCCCCGTGCCCCTCCAGGTGCTGCCCTTCCTGGCACTGGGCATCGGTGTGGATGACATATTCCTGCTGGCACATGCCTTCACAGAGGCCCCCCCTGGCACCCCTCTCCAGGTGAGGCCTCATCCTCCAGCCTGGGCTCGTCTGAAGCAGCTCATCATAGAGCCTCTTGGTCAGGGCGCCTGGGTGGCTCAGTGGGCTAAGTGTCCGACTCTTGATTTCGGCTGAGGTTTTGATCTCAGGGTCCTGGGATCGAGCCCCGTGTTGGGCTCTGCTCTCAGCGGGGAGCCTGCTTGAGATTCTCTCCCTCTGCACAATCCCCCTGCTCATGCTCGCCCACGCTTTCTCACTCTCTCTCAAATAAATAAATAAATGTTTAAAAAAAAAAAAGAGCCTCTTGGCTTAGGGGACCTTAGGCTGGTAACCTGTCTGTGCCTCAGTTTCCTCATCTGTAGCAGGGTGACGATAGTGCTTATGTCGTGAGGGTGTGGTGAGGATCGGTGCTAACTCCGGCTGAATGCTTGCAACAGTGCGCGTGACGTGTGTGAGCTACTCCGTAAGTGTGAGCTGCCGTGTGGTTACTGTCCCCCCTCTGCCATCCCAAGCTCCCAAGCCTCCCCTCCGCTCTACCTTGGGGACCCACGGCTCCTCCCCTGTCCTGACAGGAGCGCACAGGTGAGTGTCTGCAGCGCACGGGGACCAGCGTGGCGCTCACATCCATCAACCACATGGTGGCCTTCTTCATGGCCGCCCTCGTTCCCATCCCTGCACTGCGGGCCTTCTCCTTGCAGGTAAGACCTCAGCAAAGGGCCCCGTCGCCCGGTGGGGGCAGCCTGAAGCCGGGGGCCTGCTTCATCCAGCCTTTGCATCCCCCCTGTCCTTCCCCCAGGCAGCCATAGTGGTCGGCTGCAACTTCGCAGCCGTGATGCTTGTCTTCCCGGCGGTCCTCAGCCTGGACCTGCGCCGGCGCCGCTGCCAGCGCCTTGACGTGCTCTGCTGCTTCTCTAGGTACTGTCCCTGCGTCCCCACCCCCGGCCCGCCAGCCCTCACCTCCGGGGCCCCATCCCGTCCCCTCACCGGCACCCTCACAGACCTGTCATCCACGCTCTCTGCCTCTTCCAGGCCCTGCTCTGCTCGGGTGATTCAGATTCTGCCCCGGGAGCTAGGGGATGGGACAGGACCAGTGGGCATTGCCCACCTGACGGCCACAGTTCAAGCCTTCGCCCACTGCGAAGCCAGCAGCCAGCATGTTGTCACCATCCTGCCCCCCCGAGCCTGCTTGGTGCCCCCACCTTCCGACCCACTGGACTCTGAGCTCTTCAGCCCAGGAGGGTCCACACGGGACCTCCTAAGCCAAGAGGAGGGGACCAGGCAAAAGGCAACCTGCAGCTCCCTGCCCTGTGCCCGCTGGAGTCTTGCCCATTTCGCCCGCTATCAGTTCGCACCCTGGCTGCTCCAGGCGCACAGCAAGGTGAGGCCCCAGGCCTGGAGAAGTGGGGGGGAGCCAGGGCAGAGGCTTAGGTGTGTCTGGGCCCCCAGAAGGGCAGAGGGCCGAGCCCGCCACCTGAGCGCGCGGGGCAGGGGTGGGGGGGCATCCCTGGGCCTCCAGCTTGGTTGCCGTTTCCCACAGGCCATGGTGCTGGTGCTCTTTGGGGCTCTTCTGGGCCTGAGCCTCTACGGAGCCACCCTGGTGCAGGACGGGCTGGCCCTGACGGATGTGGTGCCTCGGGGCACCAAGGAGCATGCCTTCCTGAGCGCCCAGCTCAGGTACTTCTCCCTGTACGAGGTGGCCCTGGTGACACAGGGTGGCTTTGACTACGCCCACTCCCAACGCGCCCTCTTTGATCTGCACCAGCGCTTCAGTTCTCTCAAGGCCGTGCTGCCCCCCCCTGCCACCCAGGCGCCCCGCACCTGGCTGCACTATTACCGGAACTGGCTACAGGGTGAGAGGCAAGGCAGTTGGCAGGGAGGGCTGCCGCAGGCCCGAGCCCCTGGGGCCACAGGCTAATGCACACTCCCTCGTTCTCCCCTAGGGATCCAGGCTGCCTTTGACCAGGACTGGGCTTCCGGGCGCATCAGCCACCACTCGTGCCGCAACGGCTCCGAGGATGGGGCGCTGGCCTACAAGCTGCTCATCCAGACCGGGGATACCCAAGAGCCTCTGGATTTCAGCCAGGTTGGAAGCGGGGCTGGAAGGGTCGGGATGCAGGGAGGGCCTCTAGGCCTCGTGGGCCCAGACCTTCAGCCCTCTCTGCCTCTGCAGCTGACCACAAGGAAGCTGGTAGATAAGGAGGGGCTGATTCCACCCGAGCTCTTCTACGTGGGGCTGACCATGTGGGTAAGCAGTGACCCGCTGGGCCTGGCGGCCTCACAGGCCAACTTCTATCCCCCACCTCCCGAGTGGCTACATGACAAGTACGACACCACCGGGGAGAACCTTCGCAGTGAGTCCCAAGGGGGTGGGGCGGGGGCCGGCGGGGGGAGCCCAGCAAGAGCCTCAGCCTGGGCCCACACAGGCCCTACCCTAAGGCCCTGCCCACTGCTCTCCGTGCTCACTGGCCACCCCCCCTTCCCTGCTACCCCTTACCCTCCACAGTCCCCGCAGCCCAGCCCCTGGAATTTGCCCAGTTCCCCTTCCTACTGCATGGCCTCCAGAAGACCGCGGACTTCGTGGAGGCCATCGAGGGGGCCCGGGCAGCGTGCGCCGAGGCAGGCCGGGCCGGGGTGCGTGCCTACCCCACCGGCTCCCCCTTCCTCTTCTGGGAGCAATATCTGGGCCTGCGGCGCTACTTCCTGCTGGCTATCTGCATCCTGCTGGTATGCACTTTCCTCGTCTGTGCCCTCCTGCTGCTCAACCCCTGGACGGCCGGCCTCATAGTGAGTCCTCGCAGGGATGAGGCGAGAGAGACCCATGGCTCCCCGACCCTGCCCCACCCTGCCCATCGTCCCTTCTCCCAGGAGCCCTGGGTGAGCCCTGCCTTCCCCAGGTACTGGTCCTGGCGATGATGACTGTGGAGCTCTTTGGCATCATGGGTTTCCTGGGCATCAAACTGAGTGCCATCCCCGTGGTGATCCTTGTGGCCTCTGTAGGCATTGGTGTTGAGTTCACGGTCCACGTGGCTCTGGTGAGCACAGGCACTGGGGGAGGGGTGGACCAGCTGATTCAGTATTCAACAAATATTTATTAAGCACCTACTATGTGCTAGGTACTATTTAAGAACTGGTTTCGAGTCCCTGTTCAGGCACACCCCCCCGAAAAAAGAACTGGGGATATAGGGGCGCCTGGCTAGCTCCTTTGGTAGAGCGTGTGACTCCTGATCTCAGGGACATGAGTTGGAGCCCCACGCTGGGCAGAGAGATTACTTAAATAAATAAACTTAAAAAAAAAGAATTGGGGTGCAATAGCAATACAGACAGGCTTTACCTTCAAGGAGATTATATCCTATAGTGTAGAGATAAACAATAAACATATAAATAAATAAATAAATAAATAAGCAGCCATTTCAGCAGAGAGGAGGGGACAAAGGCCTGACCGAAATGGGGACAGAATGGAAGGTGAGAAAATGGGAACCAGTAGTTTTTTGGATGGTTTTACTGTGAAGGGATCAGAGAAACAGGATGGTAGCCAGATGGCAACGTGAGTAAAGGAGGGATTCTTCCGAGACAGAGCCTCGGCCTCTCCCAAAGCTCTGGGTTCTCTGGCCGAGGAGGAGTGGGAGCTGGGAGCACCGACACAAGGCTGGCTAGACCCCACAAACAGCTCCCTTCCTTTTCCCCCCATAATAGCCCTGTCCTTCTGATTACAAGAACGATATACACTCCCTAGAGGGGGGCAAAGTCAGCATGCGGAGAAGTACAAAGAAAGAATTAGAAATCCTCTGAAATCCCATCCGAACAAGTAACTGTGACCACTTTCGTGTCCATCCTGCTGGACTTCTGGACCGGGATCAGCAAACTTTTTCTGTAGAGAGCCAGACAGCAAATATCTTAGGCGTGGCAGGCCAGAGTCCCCGCGGGCTCCTGCCATGGTAACACTGAAGCAGCCACAGACAATAATATGTCCATGGATGGATGCGTGTGGCTGCGTGTCACCTAAACTTTATTTACAAAAACGGGTGACGGGCTTTGTTTGCCAACTATTCTAGACTTCTGTGTCTCACCGGATACGTATCCGGTGTTACCTAAATAGACTCATGCATACTTCCTGGACAGTTCCCAGCTCAGTCTACCTGGCCCGGGAGCCCTAGGGACAGATGAGAAGTTGGGGGCCTGGCTGGCCAAGGAGCAGCTACAGGGCCTCTCTGCCCCCCCAGGGCTTCCTGACCACCCAGGGTAGCCGGAACCTGCGGGCTGCCTGTGCCCTAGAGTGCACATTTGCTCCAGTGACCGATGGGGCCGTCTCCACATTGCTGGGTCTGCTCATGCTTGCTGGGTCCAACTTTGACTTCATCATAAGGTAGGGGAGGGCTGGGGCGGGGAGGTGCAGCCTGCCTGCGCTGGCCACAGGGGCTGCCCGGGCTGACCACCTGCCCCCACACAGGTACTTTTTCGTGGTGCTAACAGTGCTCACGCTCCTGGGCCTCCTCCATGGGCTCGTGCTGCTGCCCGTGCTGCTGTCCATCCTGGGCCCCCCACCAGAGGTGACCATACCCTCCCCCCTGCTCCCAGCCCAGGGGATGGCGTGGGACAGGCGAGGGAAGAGTCAGAGCCAGAAAAAATATCTCCTCAGTGGCCAAAAGACAGGACTCAACTCACAAGGACCCTCCCTATGAGATCAGCTGAGGGTGGTAGCCTCTCCCTTGGCCCCAACACCATGTCCCTGCCCCTCAGCTTTCCTGGCTTCTTTATGGGACCCACCTTGGCGTTTAGGATCCACAGCAAGGTGCAGGGTTTGTCCTAGGCCTTAACGTCCTGTCCCTTGTCAGCTCTGGATCCTTCTGGAAGCCAACAAGGGCAACAGCTTCCCAACGATCATGGTGACACACGAGTGAGCTGCTGAAGGGGACTAAGGTCCCGGGACCCCTGGGCTCACTGGGACTGGTGTCTTCCCCCAGGTGGTACAGATGTACAAGGAGAGCCCGGAGGTCCTCAGCCCCCCAGCTCCACAGGAAGGAGGGCTCAGGTGGGGGTTGTCCCCCACCCTGCCCCAGAGCTTTGCCAGAGTGACTACCTCCGTGACGGTGGCCCTCCACCCACCCCCACTGCCTGGTGCCTACATCCATCCAGCCTCCGATGAGCCCCCTTGGTCCCCTGTTGCCACACCAGCTGCCAGCGCCCCTAGCAGCCTCAGTTCTAGGGGACCATGTCCAGCCACTGGGTGAAAGAGTGCCTGAAGCCTGGAGACCCTGCTTGGGCCACGTGAAGTCACTGGGAAGCAATGGGTGGGTTATTGACTGCAGGACGGACTCCCGGAGAGCCTGGCTGCCACTGTCCGCCTGCATGCCGTCCCCTGCCTTAGCCGTCCCAGACCTCCCTGCTGCCATTCGAGACCACCAGCCTCTGGGCTCAGAGCATCTCGCACGCCGGGTTCTGTGTGCCTGGGCCTGTCCGGGTGCGGGGAGAAGCCAGCAATTCGGGCTGCAGTTGGCCCTCCCCCCCCCGTGCCCCGCGCCACCCCCCCTTGCTACTGGCCCCTAGCAGACCAAGACGGAGGAGCCCTCTAGCACCCTTTGCGAGGCCTGGCCCCCCACGCTTGGTAACTCCTGAGTAGGCTGTCTGCATCTCTGTCCACATCCTACCACATAAATTATTTATATGAAGATGTTTATTTTTGTAGTTTGTATAGATGTTAGCTACGCTGAAAGTTCTATTTTTAAAGAGTGAAATATATTCTATATGAACTCATCTCAATTGACTTTGGTGCTTTTCTTTTGAACAAACGGGAGTTTGAGAGTAAAGAGATGTCCTAGTCTAAGTTCCTGGGGCTGCTCTAGTAGCACCTGGGAAAGGCCCCATTTTTGTCACATAATTTGGGTCTATTTACCCACCTGGCAAGTGAAGATGATGTTCAGCAAACATGTTGATCATATAGTTGGTAAGAGGACCTGGGTTAAGTGCTTAGTATATGAAATGATATAAATGTTTTTGTTGTCAAACTCTACTGTGTGGCTTTCAGAGCTATCATAATCCAGCCCTGCACACCTCTCCAGCTCATTGCCCACCCTTCTGTTTCAGCAGCATGGGGGGCATGGGTGGAGGGCCAGAGCCAGGCAACAGGTAGAAGGTGAGGAGGAAGCAGATAGGGAAAGCAGCCAGCTGAAGCAGAGGTGGAAATAGCAGGGTCTGGGGAGATATTTTAGATTTATGTCTAGACCAACCTAAGGCAAGAGGCCTCTGCAAGTCAGCTGTCTGGTGCCCCAGAGGCATCTCTGGCCAGACAGCCAGGGGATGGATGAGTGCGGGAACTGTTCAGAAATTGAGATTGTGCTAGCAGCCAATGAGGTGCTGTATTTAAGCTGTTCGTTCTGTGATGTCATATAGCCCCACTGTACAGAGGCCTTGAAGATTCTGGCTACACCACAGGCTAGAATAGAGTACCTCCCCCCTAGGAAGTGGGAGAGGCCTTTTATTGCCCTTCCCCAACTATTCCAGGGCTCAGTCTCAAGAGACACAAATATCCACCCTGTGTTCCAGTCACCCACTCACCAGGAACAACCCCACCTTAAGAGCACTGCCTTCTCATATCCCTCCCCCCAGGCTAAAGGCCAGAAAATCACGTTCCGACTAAATATGAAATTAATTAATTAAATACATAAACAAACTTACAGCAGTTGAATCAACACTAAAATACCTAGGGGCACCTGCGTGGCTCAGTTGGTTAAGCGTCTGCCTTCAGCTCGGGTCATGGTCCCAGAGTCCTGGGATCAAGTCCCACATCGGGCTCCCTGCTCAGTGGGGAGCCTGCTCCCTCTCCCTCTGCCGCTCCCCCTGCTTGTGTGTGCTCGCTCTCTCTCGCTCTCTCTGTGTCAAATAAAAAAAATCTTTTTTTAAAAACACTAAAATGGGGCTCCTGGGTGGCTCAGTTGGTTAAGCGACTGCCTTCAGCTCGGGTCATGATCCCAGGGTCCTGGGATCGAGCCCCGCATCGGCCTCCCTGCTCCTCAAGGAGCCTGCTTCTTCTGGAGCCTGCTTCTCCCTCTCCCTCTGCCTGCCGCTCCACCTGCTTGTGCTTTCTCTCTGTCAAATAAATAAATAAAATCTTTACTAAATAAATAAATACACTAAAATGCCAGGCGCCTGGGTGGCTCAGTTGGTTAAGTGACTGCCTTCGGCTCAGGTCATGATCCTGGAGTCCCAGGATCGAGTCCCACATCAGGCTCCCCACTTGGTGGGGAGTCTGCTTCTCCCTTTGACCCCCCCCCATGCTCTCTCTCTCTCATCCTCTCTCAAATAAATTTTAAAAATCATAAAAAAAAAAAAAAAAAGCAGGGGCGCCTGGGTGGCTCAGTTGTTAAGCGTCTGCCTTCGGCTCAGGTCATGATCCCAGGGTTCTGGGATCGAGCCCCACGTTGGGCTCCCTGCTCCGCGGGAAGGCTGCTTCTCCCTCTCCCACTCCCCCTGCTTGTGTTCCCTCTCTCGCTGTCTCTCTCTGTGTCAAATAAATAAATAAAATCTTTAAAAAAACAAAAAACAAAAAACAAAAAAAAAACACCAAAATGCCTAAAAAGACCTAAAAGAAGTGAATAGTTGGCTTTGAACCTAGAGTAGGGGGTGCATCCAGTATGCGCCAGGGATGGAGGCTGGATTTCAGTCCGGCCGTGTTTGGGTCACTATGGAGCAGCTTTTGGGTGGAGCAGGAGAGCTCACCTAGCTGGAATAGTGTCAAAGATGTCAGCCCACCGTGCCACTTACAAGCAGAGTGGCCTAGAAAAGCTAGCTAACATCACTGTGCTGTGTCTTCATCTATGAAATGGGAAGATCAGAGCCTATCCTGTAGGGTGCTATTTTTTTTCCCCTCAGGATTTTCAATGAAATCATTTATGTAAGAAATAACCTGGTATCTCATAAGTGCTCTCCAGTTTTTTGGGGTTTTTTTAAAGATTTTATTTATTTGACAGAGAGAGACAGTGAGAGAGGGAACACAGCAGGGGGAGTGGGAGAGGGAGAAGCAGGCTTCCCGCTGAGCAAGGAGCCCGATGTGGGGCTCGATCCCAGGACCCTGGGACCATGACCTGAGCCGAAGGCAGACGCTTAATGACTGAGCCACCCAGGCGCCCCAGTGCTCTCCAGTTTTGTAGTTTTGTAGCTATTAGCTGTGCTGAAAGTTTTTGCTCTGATTGCTTAGGGAATAACCCTGAATCATGGAAGTGCGTCCTGGTGTGGTAGCAACTGAATGGATTTCCAGCCAGTTGGAGTTGGACTGTCCCAAGAATTGTCAGGCCAGAGGCACGAATCACATTCAGTCCCAGAGACAAGTCCCAGGGCTTGCAGGGCAGCCCACCCTGTGTGGCACCTCACACTACTCAGTCCTCTGACTTCAATACCCTTTCATGGCTCCCCATCATGGACAAGATAAAATCCAAGCCCTTTCCAGAGGCAACTCGCTCTAGCCTCTGCCATCACTCCAGCTCTCTCCCAGACAGTGCCCAGCCAGACTCCCACCCTCATTCAGACACGCTACACTCTAGGCAGGCTGAATTACTTTTGGTGTGCATCTCCTATGATTTCACATAGGCAGTTCCCTCTGCTAAGAACACTTTTCCTCCTTGATGGAGCCATCCTTTAATAAATAAATTGGATGATGGGGCGCCTGGGTGGCTCAGTCGTTAAGTGTCTGCCTTCTGCTCAGGTCATGATCCGAGTCCTGGAATCATCGAGCCCCACATCAGGCTCCTTGCTCAGCAGGAAGCCTGCTTCTTCCTCTCCCACTCCCCCTGCTTGTGTTCTTGCTCTCGCTTTCTCTCTCTGTCAAATACATAAATAAAATCTAAATAAATAAATAAATTGGATGCCATCTCTTGCAAGAGGGGTAGTGATGTGCCTCCCCGGAGGTCCCATGGCCCCTGAGTGTCTTTGCTCTACCGTTTCTGCTTCTGTCCCAGCACGGGGCGGGGGGGGGGGGGGGTCCCTGCGGGTGTGCAATGATAAGACGGCACCTCAACAATTGGGACTAACAGTCCACCCCGGTATAGGGCTCGACACCGGCCCGGCACCAGCGGGAAGCACCCTTACCTCTCTAGGCAAACCTGGCGCGGGTTCCCGTGCAGACCGCAGAGCACTCCTGGCGCCTCCCGCCGCGACAGCTGGTGTCTCCCACCAGCCGGGAGCCGCCTGTGATTTGCATACCCATGGTGCACCACGAAGGGACAGTTTCACGCTGCCGGAGTTCCAGCCCCACGGAGATTTGTGCACTGTTGTAGGGCATACTGCCTGTTAGAAATACATGATCCGTACAAATTCCAGGCAGGGAGCACGAACCGTGCAGACACTGAACAACCATAAGTGTGCTAAGTGTTGTATTGTTCTAGGTGGTTCCAAGCAGGAGTGTGAGAGTATACTCTGGTTTCTCTTCAGATCGTATAAATCTTTCGCCTTTTACTAAAGATTTCCGTGGAGAGAAACAGTTGTGAGTTTTTACTCAATTTTTTGAGGCCTCTTTGAACGAGGCGTTTTCTTTAATGGTTTAAAAAACAGATCTGAAAGTTTTGACTCATCTAGTTATAACAGAAACTACATTGAAAATCCAACTTAGAGTTTGTTTATCTATAAAGGGATTTACGTTCCAAATTGGTGCTATGTGAGGATATTCCGGACAAAACGTCCTTGCGCGTTAATACTTTTCGGGAGGGGAAGGACCAGGAAGAGAAGGTAGATAGAAGTCATTCATGTTTCTCCCAATATTTTTGGCTTGAAATACAGCAGGAAGGGTAAGCTCAGTAGTTCCCTACCTCCCCTCAGACTCCCTAGCTGTCTCCGCCGCAGTTTGGTATGATTTTTCACATTGATTTACCCCCATCCAACTCTCTACGCTGGTTTTTCATGCTGAAGATAGCAGATTCCTTACTATAAGGAAGGGGCTTAATTTATGAGTAGAACCAAACACTGAAAGAAAGTGGGTAATATAATCGGGATAAGTAATATACAGTCTCAGTGATAAGTGCCATACAGAAGCATTATGAGAGGTGGCTAGGGGTAGCCACCAAATGTGTCCTCAGATTTTGGACCTAGCTCCTCCCGCCAATCTGCATCTTCTTGCCCAAGCTCATTTAATTCCCTGGCTTTAAGTAAATACTATCTCATAACTGGAGACGGTCCATAAATTTACAGCCATCAGCAGGTTCCATTGATGACCATATTCAAAGCATACACTTCATGCTGCTACATTTTACCTACTCCGCCCTGGTCCTAGAAGAGCTTTTCACCGATTCATGCAAAAACCCCTTCCTAACTGTTCTCCTTAGATTGCATCCCATCCCCTCCTACCACTTTATCCCAAACTTCCAGACAACACACACAGAGAAATTGGGGTTTTTTTTAATGTTACTTTTGAAAAATATTTGAGAGTGCACGCTCAAGTGGGGGAGGGGCAGGGGGAGAGGGCGAGGGAGAAGAAGAAGCTGGCTTCCCCTGAACAGGAGCCCATCTGGCATCTTGACCTGAGCCTAAGGTCAGCCGCTTAACTGACTGAGCCACCCAGGTGCCCCTACCTCATACTCTTTAAACCATCATATTCCTTCATGACTATCCACTCTTCATCAAACCTAGCATAAAAATACTCAGGTTTAACCATTTCTTCTGGTCTTCATTTCCTTATGAAGACTCCCATATTACTAAAACTTATATTGGGGCGCCCGGCTAACTCAGTCCGGGGAGTATGCGACTCTTGATTGACCTTGGGGTTGTTTTATTTTATTTTAAGATTTTATTTATTTGACAGAGAGAGACACAGCGAGAGAGGGAACACAAGCAGGGGCAGAAGGAGAGGGGGAAGCAGGCTTCCTGCCAAGCAGGGAGCCCGATGCGGGGCGCAATCCCAGGACCCTGGGATCATGACCTGAGCCAAAGGCAGACGCTTAACTGACTGAGCCACCCAGGCGCCCCTGATCTTGGGTTGTGAGTATGAGTCCCACGTTGGATGTAAAGATTACGTAATGAGACATCTGAAATAAATTTGTATGCTTTTCTCCTGTTAATCTGTCTTTATCAGTTTTTCAGACCCAAGAAGGGACCCTAAGAGGGGAAAGGAAAACTTCCTCCCCTACACTACCTTTTCTTCTGGCAAAAGGAATCGTGCTCTACTTGGTCTGCACTGAGCTTTTTTCCAAAGGTCACAGATATCTTTCTACATCATGGTAAGAATATACCATAATCAGTCTTCTAGGTTAAACCAGGACATCTAGTTTGTTTTTGATTCTCATTATCCAAACAATGCTGCCATGAAGTGGTACTATGAGTAACCACATTTTCAGTCTTGAGAGATAATGCCAAATAACTATCTTTAATTCATGTGCAACATATTTTTGTATAAAATCCCGGAGAAATAAGTTTTAACCTTATTTTCTTCTAATCGACTGTCCCTCGTTTTAGATTGATAGTGTCTTGTTTTATAGCTTTTTGGAATAAAATAGTATTTAAATAAGGAAATAAAGTCATCACTGAACATTTACAGAGCACTGATGTGACAGGGACTGGGGAACAAGAAATGAATAAGGCACCACTCTAGGCCCAGGGATCTTTCAGGGAGAATCAGATCCTCAGGAAGACAAAAGGTATACTGAATGAAAGGGTGGCATGGGGAGTCTTCAATAAATAAGAGAGTGAATGCACAGCCAGAGGATACTGCCTTCAGAACCAGTGATTTAATGCAAAGGTAGTAGCTGAGAGAAGAGTTACCACTAGTAATTCTGAGCATCCTGAGAGTGAACTAGTGTATTTTGTCCTGAGAGCAATGGGGATGTTGAGTGGCTTCATAAGGGGAGTAGGGCTGACATCTTAAGTCTGGCTGCTGTGTGGGAAATGGCAGGAAGAGGGGCATGGCAGGCACGGAGGCAGTGCGCTGGAGTGAAGGCAGGAAGACTATTAAGAGCTTGTTATGGGGCGCCTGGGTGGCTCAGTCGGTTAAACATCTGCCTTTGGCTCAGGTCATGGTCCCAGGGTCCTGGGATTGAGCCCCACATCGGGCTCCCTGCTCAGCCGGGGCCTGCTTCTCCCTCTCCTCCCCGCTTGTGCTCTCTCTCAATATCTCTGTCACTATCTCTCCCTCTCTCTCAAATAAACAAATAATAAGAAACTTAAAAAAAAAAAAAAAGAGAGCTTGTTACTTTCATTCTGAACACAGGACTGGGTGAACTAAAGCTAAGAGAACTGAACCAACTGGAAAGATCTCATAGGGGAAGAAAAATAACTTTCCCTCTACTCTCTGAGCTCTTGGCTGAAACCCTTGTAGTAAGAGACAGATTAACAAAAGAAAAACAAGTTTATTAACATGTATACCTCATGTGTACGTGGCAGATACCCAGGGAAAAAAGGAGTACCTCCCTGAGGCAGCCTAAAATACCTGCTGAAAAACCATCTTAAGCTAAAGAGGAAAGAAAAGTGTAGGGAGGACACTTATGGGGGAGCCACCAAGAAAAGCATAGTAAACAAGATAAGGTTTGTTAAACAGATTTCAGTGGGGTGCCTTCTCCACTAAAATCCTCCTGTGAGTTCATCATCCTTCTTTTCCTGGTACAGAGAATGAGACACCCTTACAAATGGAGATTTCCTTTTTAAATATAAATTTCCCTTCCAAAAGAGTAACTTCTACTGTTTCCAGAGCTTCCGCTGTTTCTCAAAATAGTCAGTTCAAAATAATCCTTAAAGAGGCATCTTTTGGGTTGGCACATTCTGCTACCCTTCAGTCTCTCAGAAGGTGGAAGCCACGGGAAGGAGATGTGAGAAAGAGGAATAAGGCAAGGCTGAGATGCAGGTTTCTGGCTTAAGACACCCACGTAGGGGCGCCTGGGTGGCTCAGTCCTTAGGCGTCTGCCTTCGGCTCAGGTCATGATCTCAGGGTCCTGGGTTCGAGCCCCGCATCGGACTCCCTGCTCAGCCGGAGGCCTGCTTCTCCCTCTCCCACTCCCCCTGCCTGTGTTCCCTCTCTCCCTGTGTCTCTGTCAAATAAATAAATTTAAAAATTAAAAAAAAAAAAGACACCCACGTAGATGAGAAACACGATAGGGGCAGAACTTGGGAAAGATGAGAAGGCAGCTCAATTTTGAACGGAGTCTGAAGTGTCCAGCATTTGGAGAGAGATCTCCAAGACGTAGGTCTGGAATAAAGAGGGAGCTGAGCTGAAAACATGGGGGAGGGGGGGTTATAAAAGTAAACGCGACAGGCCCGCGTGGCAAGAGGCCCAGGAGTTAGTCAGGATGAGGGTGCAAAGGAAATCGCTTTGGGGCCCCGCCCCGCCAAGCCACACCCACTACCCCTCCTTCCCCTCCCTCCCAATCACACCCACAGGGCGGGGCGCAAAGCGGACCGGGGTTCTTCCAGCTCCAGGCTCGCAGGGCATGCTGGGGGCGACAGCCCCCTCTGAGCGCCAGGCATGTTGGGAGCTGTAGTTTGGGACAGGCCAGAATTCCTCGCAAATCGCGGCCTTTGGTCACTTAAAGGGCAGGTCCAGAAAGCAGTGATGCTCCCGGGGCAGGGTTCCCCTCCGGCGGCGGCACGGGGCGCCCCGGGCTGCATCCCCTCTCCGCAGAGCGTGGCACTTCCACGCCTCTACGATCTGCTCCACCTGCAGGGGAAGGCTGGTCACGGCGGAGTGCAGCAGTAGCCCGCCTCGCCCCTCAGACCCTGGGCCGCAACCCCCCACCCCCGCGCTTCTCCCTCCCCGCCCCCCGGCTGCTGAGTGGATCTGAGTTTGGTTCCCCGCGTCCGCACCGGGATGAGCGGCTCCTGCTGGTTCTGCTCTTCCAGGGCGCTCAGCTCCGCCGGGGCCAGTAAGGCCAGTCTCAGCTCCCGCACCACCGGGGCCGCCACCTCGGCCACAGGCCGCTCCAGCACGGCCTGCGAACGCCAGCCCTAAGCCCGGACAGGCGGGGTACCTGCCCCGCGACCCGCTTGCCAGGTTCCTGCGCCCAAGCCTCCTTCCGCACCCCCACCGCTGGGTCCCCGTAGACCCCGCTCACCGCGCCCACGCGCGCCCAGCTCCGGGCAGCCAGGACGAGCTCAGCCTCGTCCACACAGAGCTTGTCGCTGCGCAGCAGGGGCAGCAGCGCGGGCGCCGACAGCTCCAAGAAGCCGCGGGTCCGGAGCGCCTCCTGTGGGTCCACGAATGGGTCAGGGAGGAGCAGAATGATGTGTGAGGGTTTGGGAGTCTGAAGATGGGGAGCGATACCTGGCTGTGGGCCTCTATGAAGGCTATACAACGCTCCTGCAGCGGCCCCAGGCCAAAGGTCACGGCAACCTGGGAACAGAATGAAGGGTGTCAGGTTGGAGGCTGGAAGGCCATGTAGTGAGCCCTCCACACTGATGCCCTCCTACAAGCCTGTCCAGCAACACCCACCTGCAAGGCCTCACAAACCAGCTCCACATCCAGCACCTTCACCACAAACTCCAGGCACAGCTGGGAACAGAAATGAAAGTGGGTTGGGCCAAGGTGTCTCTGCTCCAAGACCCTAGCCCCACCCCAGAAGCAGCGAGCCACCCAGACAACTAAGCAGCCACAAGCCCATCGTGACCTCCCAGACCGGGGGAGGCAAGAAATCACCAGGGGCTGAGACGCGGCAAGCCGGAAGGGACTAGAGACTAGCAGTCTGCCTTGGGTCCAGCAGTCTGCCTTCTAGCACATTCCCCAATAATCAGACTAGACGAAAGCCATGTGAAAATCCTCTCTCCCTTTCTCTGAGGACACTCATCTTCTTCCACTTGGACCCCTCCTGACTCAAAGATCCTTTCGTTTTAACCAGAAACGTGAATTTCGTCCATGACCTGTCCCTTTCACCCTCACATCCAAAAAAGTGCTGGGTCATGCCAGTTCCACTTCTCTCAAAGTCATGCACCTCCCTCTTGGGCTTCCACTGCTACTCATCCCTCCTGGACTGGGGAGCCTTTCTCATCTCTCCCAATCACTTCTCCCCTTAGCTCCAAATCCTCACTCCCTTACCTAAAACCTCCAATGAATCTCCATGTCCTCTGGGTAAAAAAAAGTCCAAATTCTCAAAGGTCCTACATGATCTAGCCCCTGGTACCCTCTCCAATCTCATCTGTCTCTCTCCTCCTCTCACACCCTTGGTCCAGCCACACTAAATGGCTCACTAGCTCCTTTTGTGCCTCAGTGACTAGAATGCCACCTTTCCACGCCCCCTCTGAGCAAACTCCTACCTGTTCTAACACGAATGTTTCCTCCTCCAAGAAGTCTTCCCTTCTTTTCTCCCTGATGGCAAGACCAGAGAGACCCTCTGTAGAGTCTCGGCACCATATACCTTCATCTATCACCCTTCTTATACCCCTGGTTAAGGGTTTTCATGTGTCTCTCTCTCTTTGAAGAGCAAGGATCAAGGCTGACTTATCCTGGCAACTACGGCATCAGCCCATATGCTCCCACAGCACACACATAGCATGCACATATCCTTCTGCACACAGGCCCACATAAACGCAGTCCATACCTCTGTGTTGGTACACGTGCCTCTCCAGGCCAGAGTGTGTGTGAGGCACGGGGTGAACTGAGCCCATAAGAGGGAAGAGAAATGAGACAGGGGCCTGCCATATAAACCCACCTCTCGCAGTTCCTCCAGCCCATACTCCACAGCCGCCGTCAGCACCTCCAGCACCTGCAGAGTGGGTGGTCGGGGGAGTGGAAGAGAGTTTCTCCTGCCCCTCCCCGCCAGCCCCACCACCGCCACCCAGATGTCCGCCCAGAGGGCTCACAGAGCGGCGGCGCAGCCTGACACTGTTGGTGTACAGGAACTCCAGCACTGCCAGGAAGGCCTCCACTGGCACCGCACTCAGCACCACGGGGCTAGGCATCCCGGGGCCCAGCTTTGGGCCCAGAAGTCGTTGGAAGAAGTTGCATCTACAGGCCAACAAGCACCGGTGGGCAAACACCTCCTGCCGTTCTTGACCGACCACAAAGCAAACGTCACTGTGGGAAAGGGGAGGAGAGAACCAGGGAAGAAGAGGCCCAAGTCTTGGGTACAACCCTTAGGCTTTGCCTTTGTCCACTCTGAGCCTTCATTTCCTAATCTGTCATACAAGGGACAGGTCTTAGTCCTTCCAGCCGAAGGTCTGGGATACACATTCCTGGATTCTAGTCCCAGCTCCACCCTATGATGCCTCCAGCAAGTGACTTTATACCTTTGAATCTCAGGTTTCTCATCCGTGAAATGGGATAGTAATCCCAAACCCTCAGGTCTTAGAGGAGGTGGCAATGCCTGATCGCTGAGGAGGCACCAAGGCTGCAGCAAAATTGATCCTACCTACCCCTCTCCTCCCCAGCCTGAGTCTTGAGGTAAGGGAAGCTCTTCTTGGCTCCTCCTCCATAGACTGCAAACTCAGCCTTTTTCGGCCTCCTCTAGGCGGGAGGGGGTGCAGAACGCACTGGCTGCAGGCAGATAGGCAGTGATACATCATCATGAGACCAGACCACATTTTCCATCTTCATAATCACTTCCGGCCCCAGCCTCTGGGCCTCCCAACAGCATAGAGGGTAGGAGGCAGGAAATGAAGCTTGAGCTTCTGGAGCCTCCTAGTCCCAGGTCCAAGGCCAGGGGTTCCCCCTACTCACACCAGACTGCTAATCCCCAAAGCAGTAGGGTTATGGGAGTCACCAACCCTTGAGGAGTCTAGCTTTCAGGGAGTGGGGACTGAAAGCTACATTCTAGTTCTGACCAGCCCTGGCCCCATATTCTATCCCTGGTTTCAGACACCACTAGCATCCTGGGCAGTGAGCCCTAGGCAGCACCCTTGAACTACTTCCTGTCTGAGACTCTGGCTCACTCAATCCCTTGAGCTTTGTTCCTCTTGTGACTCCCCAGTTCCCAGAACAGGGTCATCTGCTCCTGTGCCTCCCAGGGAGGGACTCAAGTTATATCCCATCCCTCAGGATCCAGGGGGGCAAAGGGCTCTTCTCTGCCAGGAGCTCAAGAGCCAAAAAAGGAAGGCCTTTGCCTGAAGTCACACAGCTGCTCCGGGCTCCAGCTCCCACTGCCACCCCACCACCACCACCACCACCACCTCTGGCTCTCAGGACATCACGGACGATGAGTGACCTGTAGTCATTCTCCACACTTGACTTCCCCAGACTGAGTTCACCAGGGAGGAGGGTGGTCTTCCCCACCTCTTGTGTACCCAAGGCTTCCTCAGGGTGGTGGGGCCCAGCAAAGCCCGTTAGGGAAAACCCATAGACAGGGCCCGCCCCCTCACCTGTATTGGGGATTGTTGAGAAGGCTCCGGAGTGCTGTGGAAAAGGGTGCAGCCTCCCCGTGCACAACCAGTCCCGGGGGCTCCATGGGGGCGGGGCAGGGGAAGAAGCAGGTAGGAGGCCTGGTGTCTCTTGGTCTGTGGGAGGCGGTAGGTGGGAAGGAGCAGGAGGCCTGGCCAGGCCTAGCAGCTGGTGTGGAGACTAGAAAGGCCTGAGAGGGAGGGGCAGGAGCTTGGGAAGCCTGTTTGCTGGGAAGCTAAAGTTTAGGGATGGGGCAGGAGAGGCCCAGGTTCCTTAAGAAGGCATCAGAGGCCAGAGACTGGGCTAGGGGTGGGGACTCAGGGAGGGGGCCGAGAGAGGCTGAGGGTGGAGCAGACTGGACTGGGGAGGAGAGGCTGACGGCGGATGAGGCCCCAGCTGGGAGCCTGCCCAGGCGGCAGTGGGTGGGAAGCCTGTGGGTTTCCACAGAAACCGGAGCCCGGCTGGAGAGGCCCCGCCCATCTCCCACAGGCCCAGGGAAAACTTTAGCCCTCAGGGGGGCCGGAAGCTGAGTGGAGGGTCTTAGGATCCAGGCCCCTGCCTGTCTTGGGTTCAGAGTTCAAACTCCCTGCCCCTCCTACCCCTCCCCCCACACGCACACAGGGTCAGGATCAGGTTAGCCAGGCCTGGGGAACCCCCCTCAACAGGGAAATTCCTCACCACCGTGGAGTTTTCAGGGCCCAGACTGGCTTGTCTGAGAGGGGACAATCCTGTCCCTTCCAGAGGGAGGTCAGGTGAGGTGGTGTCAGCTCTGACAAAGACGTCATGGCCTCTGGCATCCCTAAAATGCAACCCCGGTTAGGGGGCTGGCACTCTGGGCACTCAAGAGGTGTGGCCAGCTAGGGACAAGCCCCAGGGCACTTGGGTCAGCAGGGGTCAGGAGGCTGGGCTCTGGTTCACTGCCAAGTCCAGTCACCACTGTTGCACCACTGTTGCATCAGGTCGGCTCCCACCCGCAGGGCGGATGGCCTCCCCCCCCCCCCCCCCCCCCCCCCCCCGCACACAGCCCGGAGCTGAGGAAGTCATCCAAGCCCCACCCCAGCTCTGCACAGGGAGCGGAAATACTTGTCCTTGTTGGGGCTGATGGGGAGACGATAGAGCCATGACGTCCTCCTTCCTGTGGGCCCAGATCCTGAGCCCTCAGCAGCCACCCAAGGTCTCCCCACGTCCCAGGCTTCTGCAACTTGCTCACAACTGAAGAGCCAGCCTTCACAGGGGAGAAATGGACAGCAGCTCAAGAGCCCCGGGAGCCCCTCTCCACATCTGCCCCCTCCGGAGTCCTTGCGGTGGTAGTATGCCCTGGGTTCTAGACCCCTGTTATCCCCTTTTCCCTGATGACTCAGGTACCCCCCACTCAGCACCTACTCACAGTAGTAACACATCCAGGTTAAGCCAGAGCCAGGACTGGAAGGAGGGAACCAAACAGGAGTGACTGCCCAGTAACCCAGGGCAACTCCACAACACAGGGGGCCATTACCTTCCTGCCTGCCAGTCAGGCCAGCCAGGAGGACAAGGCTGTGGCTAGGAGAGAGTTGGGAAGCCAAAAGCTGCAGGTGACTCAGGTGCCCGTGGGAGTTTCGGAAGAGGGCATTCATCCCAGAGCTGATTCTGCAGGTAGGGCCAGAGGCCAAATTCAGAGGGCGGAAGGAGCTTCCCGAGTCACCTGCCTCCAGCCTCAGCCAGTTGTAGGGGCGATCTTTGTGTCAGCCTCCCTAGAAGCACATAGGGCTGGAAGACAGCTGGATTCAGTACCCACAGGGCTAAAAGGATCTGTGGGGTTGAAGGAGTTGGGTCTGTGTCTCCTGGTTAGGGGTTTGAGGCACCACAGTCTAGGCTGAGGCAAACCAAGGGCAGACTTATCTCCCCCTTCCGCTGGCAAAGTCTGGTGGAAGGGAGAATAGGAGGTGTACTTAGAGCTCACTTAGCTAACCTCCATGGTGCCCACGCGAACGTGAAGCTCAGGAGGCAGGGGCCAACCCAAGATGATAGTCTGAGCAGCACCAATTATGTCCTTAACAGCCTTTAACGCTTGAAGCACCTAGGAATCCACGCAGCCCCAGACTATGTGATTCGCCTGTCCCCAGAACACAGGTAAGAAGGGGTTAGGGGCTAAAAACCCTTATCACTGAGTGAAAGACTGGATGGGGTACAACGACGGCCAGTTTAGGCCATCCTGTCCAAGTGTGGGTCTCCCAGCTGGCAGGTCCATGGCTGGCAGGTCTGTGCCCCCCGGACGCCAGGAGGAGGACACTACCAAAGACCCTGGGCTCAAACGATCGCCGGTGAGGCCTCCAGGCCACCTGCCCAGTATTGATGAGGCGCGACTAGCAGGTCTGGGCCCGTCCTCCCGCCGTGGCTCTGTGCTGGGCCCAGCCTCATCCTTCTCACGTCGCAACTCGCTGGCAGGACCAGGCGCAGGTCCGGGGGGTCGACGACCATCTCTGGGCCCAGTGCCTCCTCTGGGCTCAAGGGTTAGCTTCTCGGGGTTGCCCCCAGCCCCCCTGCGTTGGGTGGCGCCCTCCTACCGCACAGAGCCTGCGCCAGGGGAGCGCTGGGAGGCCGCGCGCGTACAGCAAGCCCTGGAGGCGGCGCTGGCTGCTCGCCTGTGCCACGCTTGCTACTCGGGCGCTGAGGCCGGGCCGCTGGCTCGCGAGCTGTGCGAGCTGCTGCGTGTGCGCCTGCGCGAACTCTGTCCCCCGCGCTACAAGCTCGTGTGCAACGTGGTGCTCGGGCCGCGCGTTGGCCAGGGCGTGCACGTGGGCAGCCGCGCACTCTGGGACACCGAGCGCGACGGGCTGGCCTCTGCCGCCTTCACCAACGCCTCCCTCTTCGCCGTGGCTATGGTCCACGGGCTCTACTGCGAGTGAGGACGCCTCCAAGTTCTGCAAAATGGTTTATTATCCCAGGAGGAGGCCCTCCCTGGGGCTCAATCCCAATAAATAAGTCTGCCAATAAATAAAAGTGGTCCATAAATAACGCCCCCTAGCTGGGGACTAAGGCTCAGGCTTTTCTTGGAGAGGGGGTAGGAGGCTGCTGGGACACGCAGACTCCAACCCCAGTAAAGCTGGTCCCTGATTCCCTGGGGGATTCGGCCCAGAGCCCCCAGTGAGGCACCAAAGGGACAGGGAGGCCCACAAAGGCAAGGACCAGAGCCTTACAGGCACAGGCCTCAGACCTGAGGCTTTAGGTCATGGCCTGCTCTGCAGGTTAGGGCCTAGGCTGGGCAGCGGTCCCGGAGCAGACGCAGAGCATAGCGGAGCCGCTGCCGCAGGGCCGGGGAACAGCCCAGCTGGCGCAGGTGGGAAGCGAGGTAAGTACAAGCACTGCGGTTGCGGGCCACGAAAGTCACAAGCAGGGGCTCCCAGCCACTGAGGATCAGCTTGGTGTGGTCTCCGTAGAAGTTTACCTGTGCACAGAAGGGTGGCACTGTTCAGGGCCTAGGCCCCAGATCCAGTTTCCTCCCCAGCACCATGGGTCTCCCAGACCTTTCCCCCAAGGCCAGGAGGGGTTCTCACCTGGACAGTGCCATCACTGAACAGCATGAGTAGGGCCTGATCCGTCTTGACCCACTGCAGCAGGAGTGGGGGGACAGGCACCTCCACCTCTTCCACACTGGGCAGATCTCCACCCTGGGGGCAGGAGCAGGTCACTTGTCTGGCATGAGTCACGCCCCTCCTCCTTGATGGCTCCCACAGAGGTTCAGCCTCTAGCTCTGAGCCCCCCACCCCTCCCGCCAAGGCGAAGATGAAGGGATTAGGATGTGTTCATCCTCCACGGGCCCCACTCCAGTGCGCACACCTTCATGAGATGCTGCTCCATGTAGGAGGCAAAATACCGGAGGACGCCCAGCTGAGGCTGCAGGGCCCGAGGCACAGCCCCCACAGAGAAGGCCACGTGCTTTGTGCTGGCGGGGCTGTAGTGCACAGTCCTGGAGGAGAGGAGACGAGAGGTCAGAGGAAGCCCGGCGCCGAAGCCCGTTCCCTGGAGACCCCAGGCCCCCCCAGTGCAGGAGCACACACGTGCTGGGCACCAGGGCACTCCAGAACAGCACTTACTTTCTGTTGGCTGAAAGGGCCATGTGTGTGCCATTGTTGAAAAGCACAGCCACCCGGCGGCTGGACAGTTGATACCCAAAGCCAAATTTGTTGGAGTAGTCAACCCACTTGCTGACCCATACCAGAGGCTCCGGCTGTGCCAGGGGAGCTGGGTTCTGTTCCGCTGTCATGGAAGAGGAAGGAGTGAGGACCTGTTCCCCACCTTTCAGCCAAAGAACTCCCAACCACCATTCACCATATCGGACCCCACCCTTACCTGGGGGCATGAAGGCCAGGCAGTTTCTCAAAGCACAGAGGGCTGACTCCACCACTGTGGCCACAGTCAGACCTTCTTCAAACCCTGAAGGGAACAGGGCACCTGGAATTAGGCATTAGTTCGCCAGGACACAGGCCATGTCTCTCTGACACTCCTTCCCTCTGGTCCCTGGTCTTAGCCCCAACAACCTCTAGCACCTCTCATCCTCTTGGCTGCTCACCATCTCCGCTGCTCGCCAATGTCCCACGGGGTGAGCTGTCTTCAGGCACTGTCTCTACCAAGCTGAGGGGGGCAGGACCGGAAGCTGCTGGAGCCTGGACGGTTGGGGAGGGGAAGGGAGTGAGATAGGCCTCAAAATCCAAATCCTCGAGAGTCCATGGCCCAGCCTTGCCCTGGCAGCCGGGGCACCCCAGGTCAGCCCCGCCTGGCTAATGAGACACAGCCAATTAGGCCACCACGAGGCTAGATGCTTCACTAGCTTCTTTTATCCCAGGCTTCCTGCAGCAGCTAGGGTGAGAGTGAGTCAGGGCACACTACCCATGTGAGTCCCTCACCTCAGGCCTGGCATCTTGATGGCCAATGGACGTCCGAGTGAGGCCGTTCACCAAACAGGAGACCTCATCCCGCTCCTCAGGATGGTTTTTACCTGGGTTGGGGAAGATACAACCCTCATATCCTGCCCACCCCCATCCCCGGGCTTCAGGCAGGGATACAGATGGGCACATGCTCTCCCCAGGGGTTCAGAGGCATTCACACTCATGCCTCCACAATATAGGTACCAAGCCCCCCTGCCACGCTCTACCCTCCACACACTGACATTCCAGACTTACTTTTCTTCTTCCTGCCAAAGAGGCTCTTGGTAACTTTGACAAACAGGATCCTAGCTGGGTTATGGGGTATCAGGTCTGGGACTGTCACACAGCTGCTGACAGGGAGCCGGTCAGGGGTGTAGCCCTGAGGAGGGAAGTCAAGTGAGCAAAGAAGGGAGGCCCCAGGAGTCCTGTCACCTACCCCCACTGAATCCCCCGGGAACATGCAGAGTTGACTTAGATGTCTGGGGAGCCACAGACCTTGGTAAAGAAGTCATGGCGCAGGATCTGGTCAATTGAGGGGCGGTCTTGGGGCGAGGCTCGAAGGATGGCAGCCAGGAGCTGCCGGGCGGGCAGTGAGAGGCTGGCGGGCAGTGTGTAGTGAACCTGTTTGATGCAGCGATATGTCTCCTTCAAGTCAACTGTCTCAAAGGGGGGATTCCCGCACAGCAGTGTGTACCTGAAGGGCAGAGATGAGGGTGTCAGGAGTACAGCGGAAGGTACACCCCACCCGGGCCCCCACCAGTGTACGATGACCCTGGGGCTCACATGACACAGCCCAAGGACCACACGTCTGCCTCAGGGCCGTGGCCCTGTCTCTGCAGCACTTCTGGAGCCACGTAGTTGGGGGTGCCACAGATGGTTCTGAAAAGGGACAGGGAGGAAGAGAGAAGAAGGTTCAGACCCAGCCTGGCTAGCCCCCCCTTCCCTGCCCTCACTGTGAGTCCAGACAAAGCAGCTGCCTGTCACCAAAGGCAAGAGAACTCCTGCTTGTCCTGGGACAATGGATGCTGGGGATGGCAGCTGAGTCCCCGCCCACCCGCCTGGCCCAGCTGCTCAGCTGCTCGGCAGGACAGGGGAGGCCTTGACCCCCACCCCAGCCCCCTCCTCCAAGGTTAGCAGAGGGTCCATCATGGATCCTTTCCTCAGTCAGTCCCCCACTCCCGTCTGTCAGATACCCATACAGGCTGTCACGTCCTATGGTCTGTGCCACACACAAACCAACACCAGTTGTCCTATTCCCCCAAACACTCTTCGGCCACACATGCTATCTGTTGTCACTCACACCCAGTCATCGTGGCCACAGCAGGGGCTTCTTACACAGGGTGTCATGTCCTGCCATTCCTACACACATGGTTTATGTCCCCTTCCCCCATCCACACATAGGATCAGGTCCAACATCTCCAAGAATCCTTACACCCCCATCTGTCTCAGGGACTCAAACACCAACAGGACCCTCAGCCTTTCCACCAGTCCCTGTAACTCCAGCTGCCACCTCCACCTTCCCCCCCTCCCACACAAACAACCCATCATCCCTTTCCTATCTATCACACACACACATCAGGCAGTCATCATGCCTCCCACATACATAACTCACTGTCACACACGTCATCGTGTCACACAGACCATGGCCACCCCTCTCCTCAAACACTTACTTCTTCCTATGTTCCGGGGGTTCCAACCGGGTTGCCAGCCCAAAGTCCCCCATCTTCAGTTCCATGTTCTCAGTGATAAAAAAATTCCCTGAATGGGGGCAGAGAGGTGTGTCAGAGTCCTTTCTCTCTGCCACCCCAACCCCCAATCCTGCTGGCCCGGGAGTCTCACCCAGCTTGAGGTCTCGATGCAGGATGCCCCGCTGGTGCAAGTACTTGAGTCCGGAAAGGATCTGGCGCAGGTAGTAACGCACCTCTGGCTCCAACAGAGTGTGCCGAGCCTTCCAGATGTGGGCCAGGGACTGCAGAGAGCCACCACTTCAGCCCCTGATCCACCCTCTCTGACCCTCCCTCCATCTGCGCTCACAGAGGAAGAGACAGGGCTCCAGCTTTGGGTCTTAAGGGCCCCTTTTCCCTCTCCCACTCTCACAGTCATCGCTCACCTTTCGGCTGCAGAGTTCCAGGAAAATGTATATGTTGTCAGCATCCTCAAAGTGGTGCGAGAAACGCACGATGTGGCGGTGCTGCAGGCCGCGGTGCAGCTCAATCTCGTTTAGGATCTGCAATGGGGGCGCGGGGTGGTCATCCCGCAAGGGCTCCCTCACCACTTTCCCCACCCCACCCCTGGTCCGCTGGGCCCGGGCCCACCTTCTCGCGCTGATGCGGCTTGGTGATGCGGCTCTGTGAGATGACTTTGACCGCGTAGGCGTTGCCGGTCTCCGTGTCAGTGGCCTCATAGCAGCGGGCAAAGCCCCCCTATGGGGAGGGGGCATCAGGCAGAGCGCTCCAGGACGGCCAAGTCTGGCCCGCAGACGTCCCCGCGCCTGGGGCAAGCGCCCCCGCCCCACCCGGCGCGGTCAAGGAGGTCAGCAGGGACCCCCCTCCTCCCCTCGCTAGCACCCCACCCCACCAGTTCACCTTGCCCAACAGGCGGCCTTTGAAGTAGGTGCGACCGCTGCGCGGGTCGGTGATAAGGCGCCCCGGGTCCGTGGCCGGTGGCCCAGCCAGCATCTCCAGCTCAGGTCCCGGCATGGCACTCCCAGGCGGCCCGGGCCCGGCAGGGGGCGCGGGCGGGGCGGCCGCACGCGGGAAGGGGCGCGGGGATAGGAAGCCGGCGGCGGGCTCCATGCAGGCGGTGCGTTGCAGCGCGGGCCCGGCTTGTTTCGGTTCCGCCCCGCCGGGAGAGCGCGTGGCGCTGCGGGGATCTGCTACGCTGCGCTCGCGCCCCAGGGAGCCCGGCGTTTTTATCAATGAACGCCTGTCTCCTCCCCCGCGTCTCGTCATTAAGAGCCCGCCCCCTTCCAGGCGGCGAGTCACCTAGAAGCCACGCCCCTCATCGGGCCTTACGACACCAAGAAGCTCCTCCTCCTACTCAACGCAAGTCCAGGCCTAGCCTCCCACCCACGCCTTAAAGAGAAAGCGTGCTGGTAGTCACCATGCGGGTGCGACCAGAACGTAGGGGTCAGCCGTTTCTCCGTACCCCTCTCCCTACGCCCTGGTGACCAAGAGTCCCGTTCATGGGGGTCTCTTTCTTTCCCCATCTTTCGGGCTTTTTCTGAAGTCTGAGTGGAGCTGGGTATCAGGGGAGTCTCCCCAAGCAACTAGATAGACCAGCGATCCTGGCGGGAAGGGAGAGGCAGGGGCGGCGCTCGCTTTCGCCAGGTGGCGTCACCAACACTTCCTTTTAAGTGCGCGAGATCTTCCCCCTGGTCCCGTGCCCTCGGCCAGAGCCCCCGGGCCCAGCGTGTAACTACCCCCTTTAGGGCTTGGGAAGAATTGCACACTCCTGAGCCTGGCTTGGGACGGGCGGGGGCGGGGGGAGGGGGGGGGGAGGCTGCCACGCTGAGTTTTGGGGTCAGACAGACCAGCATTCAAGGTTTTTACCACGTGCCTCGTCGTATCCTCTGTTACCCTCCTCCACAACCTTGAGAGTTAGATCTCGGGTTCCGGCGGGATCCCCTATTCCCTTTCCCTGAAAACACCTACTGCTTGAGTCAGCGGTCAGAAGGCCAGAAAGTGAAGAATGGGAATTAGGATTTTCTCAAATCTAGTGCCAGACAGTTGGGCAGGTGGTCCTGGGGCCATGTGGACCGCTAGACCCCTAGTTCATGCCCACCCTTCCCAGGGCCAGGAACAGAGAGGTAGGGGTCTTAACCCCTCTGGAGTGTTTGTCCCAGTTATCACAGGCCTCTCCCCCTGGCCTTGTCCTCACCTCTCTGCCCTCACTCTATCCCATTCAATCAATTATTAAGCCAGTCAGGCCTCGAAGATCCGTTGAGAGTACCCGCTAAGTGCCAAGCACTGGCTGAACGAAGCTGCTCAAGGTTGCAGCCCTCATTTAGTCCACACTCTGCTCCTTGGAAACAGACAATAGGCAGGTATAGGAACAAGGTCATCGCAGGCTTTGGAAAAGTGCTATAAAGGAAGTCAACAGAAGAGTAACCAAAGTGCTTGCTTTAGAAAGAGTAGCCAGGAATCATGGAATACTACATCTAAAACTAATGATGTAATGTATGGGGATTAACATAAGAATAATAAATAAATAAATAAATAAATAAATAAATAAATAAATAAATAAATGCTTTTATTAAAAAAAAAAAGTAGCCAGGAGAGTCAACAAATATTGATTAGAACCTAATTCCTGTCAGTTTTATCTCCCCAAAGCTAAAAATCTCTGTGAAGTACCCACTTCCCTCCATCTTCCCCTCACAGCTTAATCTGAGTTGTAGTCGCTCCCGTTGGGATTACTGATCATTGCCACAGCACCTTGCTGCTCTCACCGCCTTCACTGTCATCTCGGTTGCGTCCTCCCTCCATGTTGCCCGCCCCAGGCCCTCTAACCTCACCCTTCATGGCCACTGATGGGAGAAACCAAACAGCCTGAAATGGGAATAATGACTAATAGCTCAGTTGGGGGGGGGGTGGGAGGTGAGGGGGTAGGGGTGCTTAAGTGCCATAGTCAGGAGTTTGGTTTTTATCCTACAAGTCAACAGTTTTCCACTGGGGAGATGGTAGTGGTGGGGCCAGAAAGGACAGATCTACAGGGAAAATGAGGCTGAAGCATGTGTAGTTTGAAAAGGCATATTTGAGTTTGCAATTTTATATTTGGAAAATAAAGCAAAATATCTTCCTATTAGTTTGGAAGCCCATTAGTATGGGCTGCCATAACAAAATACTACACCACTAGGTGGCTTACACAACAGAAATGTATTTTCTCATAGTTCTGAAGGCTGGAAGTCCAAGCTCAAGGCATTGACAAGGTTGATTCTGTTAAAAAGAAAACCACAGGCCTCAAATGGCGTTACTTGGGCCAGGCCATGTCACCAAGCCAGGGCTTAATACCTGATCTAATTTCCACCACCAGTTTCCACCATCCCGGAAATATCAATCTTAACCCTCAATCCCCCAAAGAAAGAAAGGTGATCTGCATGATAAGACCCCCTGCTCTTCCTCCTAAGGGAAAGTGACCTTGCCTGAAACAATCCTTTTATTTTGCTTCTAACTTTCCTGTCCCAAGCTCCTTCCTATAAAAACTTTCCATTTTGAACAAACTCCTCAGATCCCTCCTCAACTTGCTAGATGGGATTCATGACTCATTTAATAAAGCCAATTAGGTCTTCAAATTTACTTACTTGAATTTTCCTTTTTAAGATTTTATTTATTTTAGGGGCACCTGGGTGGCTCAGTTGTTAAGCGTCTGCCTTCGGCTCAGGTCATGATCCCAGAGTCCTGGAATCGAGCCCCGCATCTGGCTCCCTGCTCGGCGGGGAAGCCTGCTTCTCCCTCTCCCACTCCCCCTGCTTGTGTTCCCTCTCTCACTGTGTCTCTCTGTCAAAAAAATAAATAAAATCTTTAAAAAAAAATTTTTTTTATTTATTTATTTGACAGAGAGGAGAGAGAGGGGGAGAACAAACAGGAGGAGTAGCAGAGGGAGAGGGAGAATCAGGCTTCCTGTGGAGCAGGGAGCCCCACACGGGGCTCAATCCCAGGACCCTGAGATCATGACCTGAGCCAAAGGCAGATGCTTAATGACTGAACCACCGAGGTGTCCCTGAATTTTGTTTTTTAACAATTTCTTCTGAGGTCTCTCTCTTGGTTTGTAGATGGTGGTCCTCTACCTTTGAGTTCACATGATCTTTCTTTTTTTAACTTAAGTATAATTGACATACATGTTATATTAGTTTCAGGTATACAACATGGATTCGACAATTCTACACATTACTCAGTGCTCACCACCCTAAGTGTAGTCACCATGTGGCACCATACAACATTATTGTAATATTGACTACATTCCCTATGGTGTACTTTTAATCTCCATCTGTGTGACTTATTTTATAACTGGAAATTAGTACTTTTTTTTTAGATTTTATTTATTTACTTGTCAGAGAGAGAGCACACACAAGCAGGGGGAGTGGCAGGCAGAGGGAGAAGCAGGCTCCCCACTGAGCAAGGAGCCCCATGTGGGACTTGATCCCAGAACCCTGGGATCACGATCTGAGCTGAAGGCAGACACTTAACTGACTGAGCCACCCAGGCGTCCCGAAATTTGTACCTCTTAATCCCCTTTATCTACATGATCTTTTTCTCTGTGTGTCCTAATCTCTTCTTCTCGTAAAAACACCAGTTGAGCATCTGCCTTCAGCTCAGGTCATGATCTCAGGGTCCTGGGATTGAGCCCCATGTGTTAGGCTCCCTGCTCAGTGAGGAACCTGCTTCTCCCCCTCCCTCTGCCACCCCTTTGTGCGAGTGCGCTCTCTCTCTCTCTCTCTCTTTTTTAAGATTTTATTTATTTATTTGACACAGAAAGAGATAGCGAGAGAGGGAACACAAGCAGGGGGAGTGGGAGAGGGAGAAGCAGGCTTCCCCGCGGAGCAGGGAGCCAGATGCGGGGCTCGATCCCAGAACCCTGGGATCATGACATGAGCCGAAGGCAGACGTTTAATGACTGAGCCACCCAGGTGCCCCTCTCTCTCTCTCTCTCGTGCATGCACCCATGTGCTCTCTCTCAACTAAATAAATAAAATCTTAAAACAAAAAACAAAAACACCAGTTGAATCAGACTAGGGTCCACCTAACAGCTTCGTTTGAACTTACTTACCTCTTTAAAGGTTCAGTCTCCAAATACAGTCACATTCTAAAGTACTGGGGGTTAAGACTTTGTACAGAAGTCAAAACCTTACCTCCACCCATCTTAGGTCTTCAGGTGAAACTCTTCAATAAAAACATTAACGAAAGAAAAACAAACACAAGTTTATTAACATGTATAACTTGTGCATGGAAGAATGGGAGATAACCAGGGAAAAATGAGTAACTCCCTCATCCAGCTTAGAATTCAGGCTTAAATACCACCTTAATAGGGAAAAGGGAAGGGAAATATAAGCCTCTTAAGGAAAAGTAAATGATTTCTAGAAAAGATGAATGGACCCTTAGAAGAATGGATGGGAGATATGATAATTTGTGTCCAAGTTTATCTGGATGTGCTACAGACTTCTAGTTTCCTCTCCTGTGATGTGAGAAGAAACTCCCAGGAAGGGCATTTATGCCCATCGAGTCCTTTTAGAGATCCATCTTTAGGCAGATAAGGGGAGTTCAGAGAAGACCTCTCCCTGCATTTGCTGTTTTTCAAGTACCTACAGTTCAAAATAGTCAATATGCAAAAGTGGCATATTGGGTGCCATATTCTGTTACCCTTCACTGTCCTCTCCCCTTGGGAGGTTAACAAGATTTTTGAGCCCTCCTCCAGAAACCAGGACACCAGGAGGAAATCCTCCTGAATGTTGTCACTAAAGGGCCTGGCAGTCTCCTCTGCCTCCTCCCTCAGTGTAACATATGCTGCCATGAATGATCTTATGCACCTGCCAAGCACCAGGCACTGGGCTAAGCATTTATGCTATTGACTGCTCACAGTAGCTTTATGATGTGGATGCGATTATTATTCCCATTTCACAGATGAAGAAACTGAGGCTCAAGGGATTAAGCTGTTCGCTCCAAGTCACATGCAGCTATCAAGGGTTAGAGTTAAGTTCTGAACCCAAGATGTCTGACTCCACTATTCACCACTGCCTGACTTTTCTGGAGGTCACAGTTTCTCTGTCCTTGAACCTATCCTCCTTCTACACTGCTCCATGTCTCCATGTCCCTGTTATTAATGCTCTTTCTCCTCCCCCACCCCAAGAATCTCACAATCTCTGCCCAAGCTGAGGTTTTTCAGAGTTCTCTGGGTCTCCATCCCCCAGAGGATGCTGTCAGGGTCTGCTGCGCCTAGTTGAGCATGTGTCCCACATTCCTTGCCCCCTTGGCAGCTCAGAGTCAGAATCTCTCTCTCTCTCTCTTTTTATTTATTTATTTATTAAAGATTTTTATTTATTTATTTGACAGAGAGAGAGAGACAGTGAGAGAGGGAATACAAGCAGGGGGAGTGAGAGAGGGAGAAGCAGGCTTCCCACGGAGCAGGGAGCCCGATGTGGGGCTTGATCCCAGGACCCTGGGATCATGACCTGAGCCGAAGGCAGACGCTTAACGACTGAGCCACCCAGGCGCCCCCTCTCTCTCTTTTTAAAGATTTATCTGTATTTCTTTCTTGCTCTCTCTGAAAGGAAGAAAGAAAAGAAAGAAAGAAAGAAAGAAAGAAAGAAAGAAAGAAAGAAAGAAAGAAAGAAAGAAAGAAAAAGAGAAAAAGAGAAAAAAGAAAGAATGAAAGGGCACAAGCAAGGGGAAGGGGAGAGGGAGGAGAGAGAGAATCTCTAGCAGACTCCATGCTGACCACAGAGCCCCATGCAGACTGCCTGGGTGGCTCAGTGGGTTAAGCATCCGACTCTTGATTTTGATCTCAGGGTCATGGGATTGAGCCCCGTGTTGGGCTCCATGCTTAGTGGGGAGTCTGCTGGAGATTCTCTCTCTCCCTCTCCCTCTGCCCCTCCCCCTCTGAAATAAATAAAATCTTAAAAAAAAAAAAAAAGAGTCAGATGCTTAACCCACTGAGCCACTCAGGCACCTCTCAGAATCAGAATCTCTTGACAATGTCAGGTCATTGAGGTCAAGGGAGTCTTTGAAGAATGAGAGCTGCCAAGGGGCGCCTGGCTGCCTCAGTCAGTACAGCATGTGACTCTTAATCTCAGGGTTGTGAGTTTGAGACCCACATTGGATGGGGAGCCTATCTGAAATTAAAAAAAAAAAAAAGTGAGAGCTGCCAAGTAAGGGTAGAA